ACTTCAGAGCTGTGACAAAAGCTTCCCTGACAAAAACCTTGGGTTCCCTAATGTAGCTTAGTGTGTGGATGATGGGTTCTTTCCCCAGTCCCTCATCCTTCATACTGTGGACATGGGCATAGGGGGCAAGTGCAGAGCAGCCCTTATTTTGTACTGTCGTGGAGGTCCAGAGAAGACCTCTTTCTACCCATCAATTTGGAGTCTGAGTCTCAGGTAAAGACAAGGTCCTTGGTCAGAGGAGGCCTGAGCTACTTGTCAGAAGCCAGTGTCAGTAAAAGTAACTGGTTGAAAAGCCACATCTGTATTCTCCACACTGAAGCAGGAGGCACAGTAAGGCCTCACAGGAATAGCCCATGTCTTAACAGCTGTCCTTCCTCTGTAGGGCTTCAGGTCTCTGGTCACTCACTAAATCTGTACTCTTCTGGTTCAGGGCTGCTGTCTTCTCCAGCAAGACTCTTGGTGGTTTCCTCTTCTGCTGTCTAGGATGCTGTGGAGCTGTGGCTGGCTCCAACCCTACAGGGACCAGTGCTGTGGGGGCTTTCTACCCAACCCTTTCCTGCCTCTCATAGGATGAGATCACAAGGGTGTGCCACCATACCTGGCTTTTTCATGTGGGTTCTTGGGGTTGCATGCAAAACCTCATGCTTACATGGCAAAAATGATCTCCTAGGCCCCTTGGTGATTCTTTTCTAGGCCAGAATTCTTGGATAGCTTGCTATATAGTACAGAGAAATCAAGAGGCCACAGCCTCCCCATCCTGGTTTACTCAACACAAAAGAAAGAGAAAAATATCCTTTAGCATTTCTGTATTTAAACACTCAGGCAAGCAGTTTTATTGGTTAGACTCCTTGATAAGAATTTTCTCCTTGGGGTGGGAGAGAGAGACTAAGAAATGCTTCCTAAACCCTCCTTTCAAAGACTCAACAACAAACCAAAGTTAGGCTCTAACAAAAGTTCACCATAGTAAACCAACGAGTTTACTAGTCCTACAAGAGCATAAGTGAGAGGTTACAAGCAGAAGCGTTGGTAACCCTAAATTAGCAGCGATGGAAGATGTGCACCTAGCATGGGAAATAGGCTCCTCCATGCCTGTGTAGATGGAGCCCTTTTCCCATTGTCTTCCCAGCTTATATTTTCTAACCCTTCTCTGAGATCCCAAGCCATGTGCAGTTAGAGTAAATAGCATACAAATGGCTGGAAGGAATAGCTAGATACTCAGGTAAGGCTCCAGTGGCCCTTTCTGCTCACTCCTTCCAAAGGAATTCCAAGTCTACAAGCCAATATGGGATCGTCTTTTACAAGCAGGCACAGCTGGTCATACGAAAAAAGCAATTGTTCTGGCAGGATAGTTCCATACAATATCTCCAGTCACATGTCACACGGGCCAATCAGTTTAGCTAGATGATAGGAATCTTTTATTGGTGAAGTCTGATCAGTGTTTGGTGGTCTGGAGCACTGTAATGGCCAGGGCCACTGGCACAAGAGTGGAGGAAGGGCAATTCACCTCCTCAGAAGAGAGGAGAGATGCTGCCTAGACCAAAGTGACAGATACCTGCTGTAGGCAACAAATCAGCACCATCTGCCCACACAGGACACAGTTAGGAAGTCCCTGCCACAGGGAAGCTCTAGGGTGCTGTATAGAAAGAGATGGTTTGATCAATGGCTTTCCTTTTTCCTTTTTCTTTTTTTTCCCTTTGGTTTTCCAAGACAGGGTTTCTCTGTGGCTTTGGAGGCTGTCCTGGAACTAGCTCTTGTAGACCAGGCTGGTCTCGAACTCTCAGAGATCTGCCTGCCTCTGCCTCCAGAGTGCTGGGATTAAAGGTGTGCGCCACCATCGCCTGGCTGATGAATGGCTTTTCATTAATAAAAATCAATCTAGGAAAGCCTGGATTGGTAAAACAGCTCTTGGCCAGGTTGTCAATCTCTGCCTGTCTTCTTGGCCTCCACTCAGCAGTCCCTGTGGTCCACATTCTGGTAACAATTACCATTCTTCTTCCAGACACTGCATAAACAGTAACAATGTGGCTATGGCCTCTCTTGAGAGTCGGCATCCTTGAGTTCAGCGCCTCACTGCTCCCCTCTGCCTAGGAGAACATTCTAGTCCCATGAGGTCAGCAAGCAAGGCAGGGAGGGGGCCTTTTGGTTCCCCCACCCCATTCCATAGTCACTGTTAGTCTCCCAGCCACTGGTGGTCTCAGAAATCTCTGCGCATATTTGAGTCCTCACATTGGTGTGAGCCAAGAATCCACTCTTGTGAAATGGCTTATGGACCAGTGATACTGAGACAATTGCAACCCCCCCCCTTTCCCTGAACCTTCCCCAGGGACCTGTGCTTGGGCAGCTGAAGAATCTAGCATTTGGTGGACCACATCGGAGGACTAATGAATGCTCTGCCCACAGTGAGCACAGAATGAATAAGCTTGACAAAAATCGAATGAGGCACTGCATTTCTACATTTTAATGTCATACTGGATCTGTTCCCACTCCTTTAGGCATCACCCTTTTTTGTGTGCCTGAGGAGACTAAGGTTTTTCCAATTAGTATGACAGTGGAAACCTGAATCCAAACTCTGGCTGGAATCTAGAAATTCTTCCATCTGCCTCTATGACAATATCGGACTAGTGACATCCTCAGCATTATTCCTACCTTCCTAAGAAGCTCAATGACCCAAGACATCATGTTATAAAGGCTGTTTACTGCTCAAAGAACTCCTGGAGAGATGGCAGTTAAATGAGAAAGGCAAAATATAGGATGGACTCTGCTCATGCAGCCAGTGGGCCTAGAAAGAAAGCATTTTTCTAATCCTCATAGAGGACCCTTACCAGGCATCTAATATTAGCCCTAGCAAATCCCATTTAGGGCTTCAACATCCTGACAGTCCCCACTCACTGTGTGGCCATTCATACACCCATTCTCTTCTTCCAGGATGTTTTGTATTGGGACCCAATAAGTCCCCAAACTTAGTCCCACAACTCATCAAGCATTTTCTTGCTGCAAGGGTCATTCTGTGTCTGGAATGTTATTCTCTTTGCAGCCACCTCTTCTTCCTAGTTCACAAAAACAAAAACAAAAAACACCTTTTATGTAAAATCCAACATGAGAGCAAGCAGTTGTGCTGGCTAGTTTTTATGTAAACTTGACATAAGCTGGGGTCATCTGGGAAGAGGTAATCTCAACAGAGAAAATGTCTCCAGCAGATTGGCCTGTAATTGATATTGGAGGGCTCAGCTTACTGTGGGTGGTGTTTTGCCTGAGCAGGTGGTCCTGGAGTGTATAAAATACCAAGCTGAGGGAGCCATAAGAGCAAGCCAATAGGCATTGCTCCTCCAGGGTCCTGTCAGGAGTTCCTGACATGACTTTTCTTCATGACAGACTGTCAGCTGAAATATGAAACCAACCCTTTCCTCCCTAAGCTGCTTTTGGTCATGGTCTTCATCACAGCAAGAGAAAGCAAACTAGGATTGTGTACGTCTGTAGCTCAAACAGTTGGGAGGGCTGAATCAAGAGTATCTCTAGTTCAAAACTAGCCTGGGCTGCATAGCCTGACACCCTGTCTCAGAGTAAGGAAAACTTCCATAGGGCTACCGAGTCTTGTGGTACTTTTATTTTCTGTACATTCCTCATATTTAACTACTTTGAGTTTCACTTTTATTTTGATTTGGATGCCTTTCATCTCTCTTCCTTATCATCATCATCATCATCATCTTCATCACCATAGGTGTATGAATGAGAGCCTCCATGCATGTACGTTCAGGTGTGCATTCCTGGTTCCCAAAGAAGCCAGAGCAGGGCTTTAGACTTCTGGAACTGGAGTTACAGGAGGTTGTGACCTGTCATGTGTGTTTTGGGAGCCTAACCCTGGTCCTCTACAAGAGCAGCAAATGCTCTTAATCACAGAGTTGTCTCTCTAGCTCCTGCCATCATCTTTCACTAGTGCTCATTATGTAAGTTTAAATATAATAACCAAAACCAAAATAAAAGAACAAACAACACACACCCTTAATCCCAGCTCTGGGGAGGCAGATGCAGGTGGATCTCTGAGTTTGAGGTCAGCCTGGTTTACAGAGTGAGTTCCAGGACAGCCAGGGTTACACAGAGAAACCCTGTCTCAAAACAACCAATAAAGAAAAAAAATGATAAAAACAATGTAAACAAAAGCAAATAAGAATTTAAATACATTCTGATGTTTCTCTAGCTTTTCACTGCAGCTAGGCTTGCTCTCCCTCTCTTGTTTATCTTGGCCTGCCAGTGAGCACTCATTAGGTTCATGAGATCCAGTGTTAAGTACTTCACACGCTGTTGTAGCTCTTTGTTTCCTTAATTCGCCATTTCAGAGGAAGAAACTGAGGCTTGAAAAGACTTGACAACATGTCAAGGCATGCAAGTAAATCAAGGTATTCCGACTTTACAATTGCCTCCTCTGACTAGGGCTGGCCTCTACAAGTCACTAGATGTGAAGCCACTCCACAGATGCACTTTTGCAAAGGAAAAAGAAGGCTTGCCCGTCCTTTTAGCTGTGATTGACAGACCGTCCCTCGACGCCAACTCCAGCGGCTCCTTAGAAAATAGGAACACACACTGGGAGACCCCAAAGGTGGCAGGTGTGCCAAACGTAGAGGCACCTGTCTCAGATGGGTCAGCGCTCTGCTCTCTTGTCTCCGTGCCTAGCTAGACAAGCAGGCTTGTTTGTGCCTCTGCCTGCTCCCGAGCGCGAGCCGCCTGTCACCATCACGTGGACGCCCCTCCCCGCCCCACCCCTCGGTCGCTCGCGTGGCTCCGCCCTCCGCGCCGGCCCTTCTTTCGGCCTCCTTCAGAGTCACAAGATCTCTCAGTGGATCCTGACCTTCGCGATCCTTCCGCCGTCCCCGCCCCCACATTAAAAAAAATCTTCTTCGGTTTTATTTTTCTAAGTCAGTTTGTATCGTCGTAGGTGAGATAGCTCGTCCCATCTGGAGCGGCAGATGACTTTGGCCATCTGGCAATAAGCTCGGGGCGTAGGAGGGACCCGGATAGGAACTCTTTTTCATAGCGGAGGTCTCCGTCGTTTGGGGACGCTTCACGCCAGGGGGAGGTGCTGCGCGTCCAAGATGGCGGCGCCCTGTAGGCTGGAGGGACTGTGAGGTAAACAGCTGAGGGGGAGGAGACGGTGGGTGAGTACGGGGATGTTTCCCCCTCTTTTCCTTGTGGGCTTTTCGGGGGCAGCCCTGGCAGCGTGACCTCAGGCTGCGGGGCGCATTGGCTGAGTCGGAGGTCCGGGGAAGGGGGTTCAGGGAGCGTCTCCCTTGCCCTCATCGCGCGCTGGCTCCGGCGGGGCTCGGCTAAGGCTGGCGGGGGCCCCGGAAAGCTGAGGCCGGCCTGGGCCGTCCGAAGGGACGGATGGCTGCAGCTTAGGGCCTGTGGTGGACCCGCTAGCCCGCCCCCCTCGCTTGTTGCAGTGACAAGCTCCCGCGGGCGTGCGCGGCGCAGGTCAGAGACCCCGGGCCGAGCAGGGAGACCTGGGGGTGGGGCCGCGGCCCGAGACTCGACCGCAGCCGCTGGGGCAGGGGTGGAGAATGAATGAAGGCCGCCCGTGGGCACCCTAGGCCGCCCAGCGCCCGCGCGCGCTCTCTCTCTTTCTCGGTGAGAGTGTGCACGGCCGGAGAGCCTGGCTCCGGGTGTACTTGTGGGTGTTTAATTGATGCTGGGAGACAGTTACCTTCAAGTCGGCAGAGGTGCTCGTTAGAGACTTGCCCAGCCTCTACTGGACGCTCATTCATTCATTTGAGGAACTTGAGAGCCCGCAGCCTGCTGTCCCAGACACCTTTGTAGAATTCAAGCACTTTCTTTGTGTTGTGGGTTAAAAGAGTTTGGCTTCGTGCGTTTTGAATTTGGGATGGGGATGACGTGGGGGTTAAGGGGGGGCAGTCATCGGTAACTAGCTAACGTTTTAGGGGATAGGGGCTGCCTGTGTGCCTGGACACTATTGGAAGTGCTTCGCAGCCATCCTCTCTTTGCAGCTGGACAAAGGAGAAACAATCTGCAGTCTTCCTAGATGGAGAAACTGAGGTCTGGAAAGATTGGGGTAATTTGTCCAAGGTCACACCCCCCCCAATCTGAGACAGCACTGGAACTGAGGTCCGACGGGTTCCATTTGCTTGTTATTTGATTAAAGCTGGCCTATTATTAAGTGATTTGGTTAATCATTTGGCCAAGGTGTGTGTATGTAATTTTAAACAAGGGTGCATTTTGGCTTGTATGCCTTATACTTTTGTTTCTCACAGCAGCTTGAATTTGTTAGTCCAAATTAGATTACACAGTATTTTCGTATTTTTTCTATAAACTGATGTCATTCACTGCAAAAAAAAATGCTGAAACCCTTGCTTTAAAAAAAAAAGTATAGAATTAACACTTCATTTTACATGAGTAAGCTGTGAAAGTACTAAACTAGACTAATGCTCTTCTGAGATACTTTGATTTATAACTTTATGATCAAGTTGGAGTCATCTGCATTCAAACAGGCTGGGAAAGTGCAGCGGTAAATTCCAGGAAGCATCACAGAGCCTAATCTTCTGGGAGCTTTTGATTTACTGAGCAATGCACCTGTGATTCTTAGGTTGAGCATCCCTGAATAAACCTGGGATATGCAAATAGGAAAACCGATTTAGGGTTTTGTAAGGAAATGTCCCTTTAACAGTCATACATCAGGCAAACGAGGCTCCTCAGGCTTCTCTTAACCACCTGGTGTAAATGTAAGGGATATTTATAAAGGATGTAAACAGAAAATACCTTCTTACTAAAGTTAATATCTTCTCTAAAAACACCCTTACATCATGGGTCTAGAAGGGCAGATGATGTAAGCTTTCTTTGCTTCATGCATTTCTTGGTGTCATGAACACTTGGTATGTCCCTAAATTCCTAGTTAGAAGGAAGCAGGCTGCCAGCTTTCTCACATGCTTTCGTTAAGCTGAAGTGTTTGCAGCCTCGTGCTTAGCTGGGGTAAGAGCAGAGTTGTCTGTTCTTCCTTCTGCTGTGGTGTGATGCTTTCTGTGCACACTTGGTTTCCTTGTGAGATAAAACTCAACAGTCTGATCAGGGCAGATCTAACACAAACCTGAATTTGTAATGTTTATGGGGAAACAGAATTGCAAGGGATCCTAAACTAGTTCTGAACCTCTGTGCACCCAAATGTCCATAGTAGGCATACCTATGTATTCTGTCCCCGAGGATAGATACCCTGTCCATATTTGTTTATTTGTTTATTTGGAAAGAAATCTGCTTCTGTTCATGGGCTTAAAGTATCATTTTGGCTATGAATACAGTGTTCTCCTGCATGTTGCCTGCATGCTGGAAGAAGGCAACAGATCTCATTGTAGATGGTTGTGATCTACCATGGTTGCTGGGAATTGAACTCAGGACCTCTGGAAGAGCAGCCAAGTGTTCATGACACCAAGAAATGCATGAAGCAAAGAAAGCTTACATCATGCTTTTAACCTTAGCCATCTCTCCATCCCAGGCTATTTGCTTCTTTTAATTTATGATTTATTACAGAGGCCTTTTTATTTTCTTTCCTTTTTAAAACACATTTTATTTATTTATTATGTATACAGCCTTCTGCCTGTAGGCCAGCAGAGGGCACCAGATCTCATTCAAGGTGGTTGTGAGCCACTATGTGGTTGCTGGAAATTGAACTCAGGACCTCTGGAAGAATAGCTGGTGCTCTTAACCCCTGAGCCATCTCTTCAGCCTCCACAGAGGCCTTTCTTAAACCATCTTATAGCCTATTTGTGAAGTTGTGGGTGAATTTTGAGTTTTTGCACACAGGTAGCTTGACCTAGAAGTTCTGTCTTTTTTACAAAGTTTTCGAGGCTTCGGGTATGTTTGTTTTTGAATCCCAGTGCCATACTGAGCTAACATTAACTTCTTCCAGAACTGACTAGATATCCTTGAATGTCAGATTTCTGTGCCTGAAAGTCTTCCTGAGCTATAGTAAATATTCTGACCAATGTTAATTGGTCTAGACTCTATGTTCATAGTTGTGTAATGACAAAGAAAATGAGTAACTCTTGGGCCAGCTAGGAGGGTGAGCTTGTTTATCCTTTAAACAGTGATTCCCTGCATTTTCTTTTATAAATCTCCCTTTTACAGACAAGTCTTTTTTGGGTGTTTTGTTTTGTTTGAGACAGGGTTTCTTTGTATCTTTGGAACCTATCCTGGAACTCACTCTGTAGACCAGGCTGGCCTACAACTAACAGAGAACTACCTGTCTTTGCCTCCCGAGTGCTGGGACTAAAGGAGTGGGACCACTGCCCAGCCCTTAAAGACAAGTCTTAATGCTCAAATAAGTAACTACAGGCAAGAAAGAAAAGTGTATGAAGTCATTGAGGGTTTTTTGTTATTGTTGTTTTACTCATGTGTGTTTTAAAACCGCATCATCAATTGATAACTATATAATAGAGTTTTGTGTGCATGCTCTTTTTGTTTTTTTGTTTTTTTTGCCATGGGGGCGGGGTGATATACTCATTTAAATTGCCCTGAGATTTCCTGTAAGGAAATTTGAGATTATTTTTTCTCTTAAGCCTGTAGTTGCTAAAAATTAGTAATTTAATGTCAATTTTAATGAAAAAGAATAAAAAGACACACACACAAATATATATATATATATATATATATATATATATATATAAAGAACAAAGGGCCACCTTAGGACCTTGTCAGTTTCAGTTTCTTCTAGTTCCTCTTCTTTTTTTGGGGGTGTGTGTGTGTGTGGTATACAAGGAAATAGCAAAAGTAGCAGAATACATTTTATAGCTGAATGAGTTCAGATTGACATCTAATGAATAAAGTACCTTAAATGGACAGCATTATCCCCAAACAAGGCATGGTAGTTAGTGAGTTGCAACTCACAGGTCATGATGTAAGTAAATAGGGCCATAAGGTCATGATGCTTTTGAGTTTGTCTAATGCTGGTGATGAGACAGAGCAGGGCAGGGCAGGGCAGGGCAGGGTGATGTGCAGGTAAGAAAATTCTTGTGCCTGTGGTGGTTAAACTTGTGCTACATTGTGTCCCTCCAGAGAACAGTAGCAAATTTGAAGTGTATCAGTTTTAAGTTACAGAATGCTTTTATCAGTGTTTCAAATACCTGCTAGTAGGCTGGGCTTCTAAACACTCTGTATTATTTTGTTTAGTGGTAACATTGTTATAAAAGTATGTCATGTGCTAAGCACAGCTAAATGTTTTCATGTCTGATCCCTCTTTACTTTTCCTATACCCTTGAGGAGTACAGGAAAGAATTCTGAGACTTGCTGATTAGATGATGATGTGTTTGATTGGCTTCAGAACCCAAGTATTTAATGTTGTGTTGAGATAAACTGCCCAGTCTGCTAATCTAAACTAATCCAAGGGTCAGTGGGGTTTTTACTTTTTATTTTCATTTATTTATTTATTTTTGAGTCAGGGACTCATGAAATGTAGGCCAGTCTGGACCTACTGTGTAGGCAAGGCTTTCCTTGAGTTTCTAATCCCCTTTCCCTGCCTCTACCTCCTGATTTCTGGGATTACTGGTGTACACAGTTGTGTCTGGTTGGATAGTATTTGTTAAACTTTTTTGGGAGCCGGGAGGACTAGGGCAAAACTGTTCTTTTAAGGTCTGTAAAAATCTGTGGGCCAATGTTTCTTTTTCTATAGATGATACTCCATTACCCCCAAATGCATATAGATAATGAGATTTTGGAAACAATGTTAGAGATTTTGCTTAAAGCCCAACCAATCATTTTAGATAGCTTACTGCTCTTAAAAAGACATTTGGAGGCTACAGAGGACTTGGGTTAAATTTCTGGCACCAATATGAGGGTTCACAACCATCTGTAACTCCAGGGGGATTTGATACAGCCTTCTTTCCTCTGCCATGTGGTACACAGCCGTTTTTCAGGCAAAACACCTGTACATATTAAAAAAACAAAACAAACAATAAAATCCCAGCAAAATCTACACACTTGGGTTTTATTAAAAACATCCTTTTTTTTTTTAAAATCTGGTAGGTAGGAAAGGCCCACTTTCCCCCCCTTATATATTTAGTTTATTGCATTACTGGGAGTTGAATGCAGGGACTTGGTACATGCTAGGAAAGCACTCTATCAACTGTGCCACATTAATAACCCCCGTCATTTATTTATTTATTTAGTGTGTGTGTGTGTGTGTGTGTGTGTGTGTGTGTGTGTGTGTGTATGTACTTGCGGAGGTCAGTGGACAGATAGCCTCTGATGTCATCCTCAGGAACACCATCCTTTGAGACAGGATCTCTCACTGGTCTGGAACCTGCCAGTTAAGCTAGACTGGCTGGGCATTGAGCTCCAGTAACACACGAGAAAGCATTTAATTTGGTGCTTACAGTACCAGAGGGGTAGGATACTTGAATATCATGGGGACGAGCATGGCAGCAGGCAGGCAGGCAAGAATGGTGCTGGAGCAGTAGCTGAGCACTTACATCTGATCCATAAACATGAGGCAGGAGGTGTGGGGAGGAAGAAAAAGGAGAAAAGAGGGAGGGAGAGAGACTGAGAGAGGGAGAAAGAGAATATGAATAAGAGAGAATTCGAGAAAAGGAGCTACCTGGGAAAGGTATAGGCTTTTGAAATCTCAAAGCCCTTCACCTCAGTGACAGCTCTCCTCCAACAAGACCACACCTCTTACCTCTTAATCCTTCCCAAACAGTTCTACCAGCTGGGGACCAAGTATTCAAATTAATGAGCCTGTGGGGCCACTGTCATTCATACCACCACACTATGTAAGCTGTAGTAGTCTCAGCCCTGAGGACTACCTTTTGAATGTGGACATACATGCTGTTTTATGCTAGAAATCCCTTTCTTTTTTTCTTCTTAAACTTTTGTGTTGGAGGATTCTCTATGCTTCACTAGGAATTCAACCTTAGTTACCATACTTAAAAAATAATCTGGTCCTGGTGTTCATCTTTAATTTCAGCACTCAGGAGGCAGAGGCAGGAGTATCTCTATGAGCTCTGGGCCAGCCTGGCCTACATAGAAAGTTCCAGACCAGCCAGGGCTACACAGTGAGACCTTGTCTCAAAAACAAAAACAAACCAAAAAACCAAATAGCTGGGGGTGGCGGTGGTGGTGCACACCTTTAGTGTCAGCACTGGGGAGACAGAGGCTGGAGAATCTCTTGAGTTCAAGACCAGCCTGGTCTGTAGACAGCCAGGGCTACACGGAGAAACTCTGTCTCAAAACAAAACAAAGCAAAAAAGAAAGAAACCAACCAACCAAACAAAAATTTATGAAGAACTTAGGCATACTAATAATGCTTGTTGGACTTGGCATTCAGTCTGTGCCAGCACCGTAAGCACCTGGTGGAACCCCATTATATTTCAAGGTTTCTGTATACAGACTTTTTCCCTTACTGTCTGTCTTCACCTCTTTATTATCCCTGGGTCACCACCCCCTCCAAGATTTATTTTATAGCTATTATTTTAATTTTTTGTTTTGTTTTTGTTTTTTGAGACAGGGTTTCTCTGTGTAGCTTTGGAGCCTATCCTGGAACTCACTCTGTAGACCAGGCTGGCCTGGAACTCACAGAGATCCGCCTGCCTCTGCCTCCCGAGTGCTGGGATTAAAGGGGTGTGCCACCACTATCTGGCATCTCCCTCCATTTTTAGGAACATGCATTTCCAGTAAGTTCTGGGTATTATGGTGATGTGTGGACTATACTTGGAGAAGCACTATCCTGTGCTGTCAAGCGCTGTACCTTCTACCCTGGACTATTTCTTTCTTTTTGTTTTTGTTGTTGGAGACTGGTTCTTACTCTATTTCATTGTCTAACTTTCACTGATCTGGACTCACTTTGTATGTAATCCAGGCTGGCCTTAAAATTTTCGTAATCCTGCTTCAACTTCCCTAGTGGTGCACTTTCTTGGTACATAATTTTGTTCATGCTAATAGTCAAAATAGAACCATTATCTGAGGAAAAAATTGCCTTGTGGAACCTAGCTGTGGCCCTGTGACCCACAGGGCCTGTACCTAGAGGACTTGTTGCCTTCAGAGTTGAATGAGCTTAGTAACCTATGTATTGTCCATTGAAGACTCTTTAAGGACAGAAATTATAAGTGGACAGTTTGGCATGTTGGAGCTCTCTTGTCCTGGCTTCTGTGACCTTGAGAGATTCTACAGCTGATAAGACTAAATCACACCTATACCATGGGCTCTTTTACCCTTTCTTCCTTTTTGCCCAGATGAAGTTAAATCAAGTTTGTAATCTGTTTGGGTGCATTAGTGTTGAAAACATCTTGGTTCAGTTGATGGGACATTTCTCTTAAGTCACCTATGAGTTCTGAGCTAGGACCAAATACTTATAGCAGTGTAACTTTTCTGCTCTGTCTCAACTATAAGTGATGACATAGGAATCTGTTTGTGCATGAGTCTGTCTGAATTGCCTTTAGGTTTTTATAGATTATAAAAAGACAGATTATTGTTAAGACAACCCCCCTCACTAGTACTGGGCATTGCATTTGTGTATTATAGGCCAGTGTGTACAAAGCTCTCTGATGTGACTTGACATGCAGTTATCTATCTTATCTGTGTCCCTGTCCTGACAGAGGTAGTGAGAAGATGTATGCAGGTCCTACTAATGACAGCTGTTGCTCTGGAGTTCATGTGTAATCCCAGACACATAAACGATCTGACAATATCTAAAGACTGAAATTATTAAGATAAATTGTGAAAACCAACTGTTCTTTCTGTTTACACCATGGTGATACACAAAGCCCTTGTCTTCCTCAAGCTGCCTTTTGTTTTTACCGAGAAGACTACTTATAGAAATAAAGTTACAGAGGAGGGGGTGGGCTAAGGGGGAGTGGGAGGGGGTGGAAGGAGAGGAGGGAGGGGAGGCTGCAGTCGGAATGTAAAATTAATTAATAAAAAAAACACGGATAAAAAGAAATAAAGTTACAGTGAGAATGACTTTCGGATATCATGGAAGGAAAACTCTAGATCTGGGGGCATTTTTCTTTTTCCCTCATGTCTTTTGAAGAAGTGGAGCTGATGCTGCTTATACATTCTGATGAGTGTTTCCACCCGTACCCTCACTTCCATGAAGGCTGATGCTTCACCTCTCACTTTACTGACATGAGTATTATGCCCAGTAGATCCCCTCCGCTGGGCAAGATTTAAATGTAAATGAGTAAGTGAACACTTAAAAATAGAATACTGGTAGATAAGCTTTAGTGTACCACAGAAAACTGATGCCAGTCCATTTCTTTATTGTTAAGCCTAAGGATAAAGTAATGAAGTCTTAATGTTGAGACAAACCCAACTTGGATTCCTGTGGTGGTGTTCTGTCTAGAAAAGTGGCCTTAGCTGGGCAGGCCACAGGATTTCACCTTAGTGTATCCTAATTTTATCCTCACCTTAAGCACTCCTTTACAGGTACAAGTGGATTACTCTGTAAGAGGAAGTCAGTGTGACTCACGCACTGATTAACAGGTGGTTTTAGGATGCTGAATATGAGAGGCTCCTGCAGCAGTTCATCTCTGTAACTTAGTGGAGTGGAAGCCGCTAGATAGCATGTCTTGTTTGCAAGTTCTGGCCAGACCTTGTGGGGCCAGTGGCCAGCAGCACTGCCCACAGACTTGCAGTGGCTGCTGAGACAGTTGGCATGGCTCCCTGAGTGTATGCCACGTGGTGCTGTATCGCCCTGTCCTTAGGGCAGAGACTGTATCAGAGAAGTGTTCAGTCCTGTTGTTTGACTTTGACCCAGAGCTTGTCCTCTACCTCATGTAAGTAGATGTCTGTAGTGTGGAGCCAGGATTGGCAGTCAGAGACTTTAGTGGCATCCAAGGGAACAGACTGAATGTTTGGCTTTTGTGTACTAGGTGTCAAGATAGTCTACGGTATCTCAAACACATGGACCCTGTCATCATGGAGTTTACAATCTTCTAATCAGATAATCCCTAAACATGGGGTTAAGGACCCATACATTTTCAAAATGTATTTATTATATTTTTACTTGTTTTGTGTGTATGTATGTGGGCACACACAGCACTGTTCATGTGTGGAGGTCAAAGGACAATTGGAAGAAGTTGGCTTTCTTTTATATCAACCTGGGGATCAAACTCAGGTTGTCAGGCCTGGCAGCAAGTGCCTGTACCCTCTGAGCCTTCTCACTGTTTCTGAAGGGCCCATGTTTTAAAAGCAAAATGGAACATACATACATACATACATATATATATATTTGACATGGAAAATGAATAGTATGGACAGAAGTAGGGTAGAGGGGAAGGAGAGTAGAGAAGCTGCTGTTGAAATTTTATTCCTGTCATGTAGGATTAGACTTAGCTTGTGCTGCTTAAAGGCAAAATCAGACTTTGTTCATTTACCAGCCCCCATGGCAGCTGCTGGGGGCCAAGTACTGAGATGATTGCAGCTGCTTCCTAGTGTGCCCAACACTTCTCATACTTAATAGGTTTTTAGGAAGTGACCAGTGCAAGCTGCTGGTGGATCAGGAGCCTGGCCTGATGGGGCAAGGCAGCGGGAGGAAACAGTAGGCCTAGGAAGGATGAAGAACTAGCTGGGGAGAAGGCAGTGGTTTTTAGGTTATGTGACTGGATGTGCCTGATGCCTTCTTGACTGAGGAATTAAATTCTTTGAAGGCAACATAGCAGGGCTGGGAGTGTGACCTGTGAGAGGACAATGATGATGCGGGCCCACTGAGGTTTTTGTGCTCGTTGCTGACTTCACTACTCCAGCCACTCTTCTGAGGTCCTCATTGGAGCTCCATGTGAGTGTTGAGGTTGAGGACATTCTCACTTTCCCCAGAAGATAACTCAAGGCAAGACATTAGTGACTTAGTAATAACCCAGGGTTACAGAGCCAGTAAGTGGAGGAGCTAATTTTTCAATTGGGAGCCTATTCTAGAGCCACACTGCCCTCTTGCTGGTAGTGCAGAGGAGAAGAGGCTGTGCTTCTCGAGCTCACTTCAGTGGGAAGCAGGTGACCACCTGCCGAGGATGGTGGGGCAGAGTTGTACTAGACCAATTCCAACTCCCTTCTCATCAGGTCTCAGGGTTTTCTTCCTTGTAGGGTTATTATAAATACTTATTTATGTGTGCTTTTTCTCTAGTGACCATGAAAGACACCAGGCTGACAACACTGGAAACTGATGTACCAACTGTCCCCAGAACAGGTGAGGTGCACATTTAGTCTCGTGGCTGAGTGGATAGGAGGGAATGTCTCACTTTGCCCATGGGTGCCCCGCAAGCAGTTGCTTCTTTGTCTGTGGGTTTGAGTGTTAATATCTTAGTTCCCTGCCAAGCACTGGAGCATCTATGGCTTGAGGTAGTCAGCCACCTCACCAGTGACCTCTTGCTGTTCGATGCCAGGCACTGAGTGTATTACACACACTGCTAGTTTTCTTTTTCACAACAGCATCTGGTGTATTTCCATTCTACAGGAGAATTGGCCTCAAAGATGGGCTGTTCATGAAAATCAGTCCTGTGAGTAGCTAATTCTAGTTTTAGCCACTAATTAAATTGAAGCCTAAATAAAACAAGTCATTTAACCATTGAGATGTTTTTATCCCTGTCTGGGCCTCAGAAATCCACTTTGGATTCTGGAAACAAACTAGATGCCACAGCCTGTAACTTGTGCAGTAGGGCCTGGACTGTGGCATTTGTAGACTGCAGATGATTCTGACATGCATTGTGGACTGAGACCTCGTGAGGTAGCACTGTAGCTCTTGTATTTATGTCTGTTCATGGTCTTTTTTTTTTTTTTTTTTAGTTTTTCCGAGACAGGGTTTCTCTGTGTTGCTTTGTAGCCTGTCCTGGAACACGCTCTGTAGACCAGGATGGCTTCGAACTCACAGAGATCCATCTGCCTTTGCCTCCCTCCCAAGTGCTGGGATTAAAGGCGTGCACCACCAACGCCCAACCCTTTTCATGGTCTTAAGTCAGCTCTTTTTTGGATAAATTACTTCCTTTGGTGATTTTCAGGAATTGATGGAGTCTTGAAGTCCCCGAATATCCCCTTTATAGTTAGTGAGGCTCTGATACTTGTGCAAATCTGAGTTTAGTCCGAGTGACTTAACTGACTATTGGGCTGCAATCTTTATTAGCAAAAGTGATGTATTAGTTGCTGTCATAAATGTCTGACAAAAGCAACTGGAGGAAGGGGAATGGTTGATCACAGTTTGAGGCTGTCATCCTTCATGGCAGAGAAGTTATGGTGGTAGGAGCTTGCATCTGGTCACATTCTATCTACACTTAAGAAGCAGGGAGTGGTGAAGGCTGGTGTTCTGCTCATTTTCTCATTTTTATCTAGTATAGGGCCTCAACCCACAGAGTGGTGCCACCCACACTCAGGGTAGGTTTTCTTTGTTCTGTTAAACCTTTATAGCAGCACCCTCATAGGATGTGTTTCCATGGTGATTCTCAATCTCAAGTTGACAGTGAAGATTAGCCATTGCAGGTACTAGTAGTCATGATTGTGTTTTGTGCAGGAGTCAGGGAAGGTAGGAAGGCATTTGTTCTGCTGTCTTTATATTCAGCCACCAAGATAATACTAAACAGAAATGTTGCTTAGCCCTATGGGATGCAGAAATGGTTCCTTGGGTTCTGCTTTTTGAATTCTCCAGAATGTTCTTTCTTTTGTATGTTACTTCCATAGTTGCACCAGGATGAATTACTGTGTCTGGTGCTGGGTTTCCACAGGCTAAGGTGAGCCCTGTCTGTTTCTTGGATAGTACACACAGAAGTTTTCATCACACTAACCATGTCTATCTTAGCTCTTTATACTTGTGTTCTCTAAGCCTAAGTTAATGTTCCTCTCCAGTGCCTGATAAAGCTTGTGATTTAGCTCTCATGAGACTGTCAAAAGTGCTTGAACTGGGGTTACTGATGGTGGATCTTACACAGAACCCAAGATTTATATTTTTCCTAGGGACTAAAGGTTAGATATTTTAAAAAGTATATTTTAGAACCACAGAGAAGAAAAATGTTGCCCAAAATGTTCTGATGTGTTTTTAGAATAAAACTTCATCTTTGTTTTCTGTAAATCTTTTGGAAAGAGAAGGCTCCAGAAACCACTCTTCACCAAAATTTCATTTACAGTTTGAAAACAAGCTAAGTAACCTGAGCCTGTTGTTCTGACAGTGCCTGGGTGGTAGAGCAGACACCATCTTGGTTTGCCACTGCATTCTGTACTGCCTGCTTTTGCAGAGCTAGCCTGGCATTACTGTCTTCTGAGTACACAAAAGACAGAATCTTGATAATTGTACAGGAGATAGAATAAAACCAAACTTGGAACAGAATATTTGAAATTTTGTGAATTACGTGCTTCATCACTAGCTGGAAGAATCTTTTGTGACCTACTGGAAATAAGTGCAGGGATTAACCAGGTAAATGTACTCTTCTGAAATTGTCCTAAGGGTGTTGCTCCAAAGCTGTTTCTGACCTGTTGTGGTGGGATCCTTCTAGTCAGTGAGGAGTGTACAGACCTTAGTTAGCCAAGTGCTCGGCACCACACCTCATCCTGTCACTGAGCAAAAATGGCTGTGGTGGCATAACTTCATTGATGAGCTTAATTTAATGCAATTTTTAAGAAGATAAAGTTTATTTTTGTTTTTTAGTTTTAAGCTTTAAAAAAAGATTAACTTATTTTATGTGTATATGTGTGTGCCTGAGGGTATGTTTGTAGACCAGTTTCATGCAAGTGCATGCAGAGACTTGAAGAAGGCCTTGAATTTCTAGGAGCTGGATGCTAGGAACTGAACGTGGGTCCTCTGCAAGAGCAACAGTTCTTTAACCATTGACTCAAATCTCTAGTCCTCTTTTTTTCTTTTTCTTTTTCTTTTTTTTTTTTTTGATACAAGGTTTCACACCTTGTAAGTTAAGTTTATAGCCATCCTCTTTCTTGTCTTCATTCCTAGTTGCTTGTTACAGGCATGAGCCACCATGCTGGCTTCACTTGGATTTTCTTTCTTTCCTTCCTTCCTTCCTTCCTTCCTTCCTTCCTTCCTCCCTTCCTTCCAACTTTCTTAAGTATAATGTTTGTTTTGTTTTTTTTTAATTTTATTTGTTATGTATACAACATTCTGCTTTCATATATATCTGCACACCAGAAGAGGGCACCAGATCTCATAATGGATGGTTGTGAGCCACCATGTGGGTGCTGGGAATTGAACTCAGGACCTCTGGAAAAGCAGTCAGTGCTCTTAACCTCTGAGCCATTTCTCCAGCCCCAAGTATAATGGTTCTTAAATAGGCTTTTGTATCACCTATTTCAGAAAACTGGAAAGTGACTGGGCAGTAGTATTAAAGGGCGCACACCTTTAATCCCAGCACTTGGGAGGGAGGCAGAGGCAGGTAGATCTCTGTGAGGTCAAGGCCAGCCTGGTCTACTAAGCAAGTTCCAGGACAGCCAGAGCTGTTATGCAGAGAAACCCATAGCAAGTTTCAGGCTAGCCAGGGCTACACGGTGAGACTGTCTCTTAAAAACAGACCAAAAAACCACTTGGAACTGGATGAGGTGATGGGTTCCTATAATCCTAGCAATGTGGGGTCTGAGGTGGAGGTTTGCTTGAGCCTAGAGCTACCAGGACTAACTCAAGCAATAAAGCAAGTCCTCATCTCAAAAGGGGAGAAAAACCCCAGATGAATTGCCTGGGGCATTATTAGAATGTGGATGCCTGGGCCTAAGCATTCCATGTGGTTCCCAAATCGAGCCTAAGAACTGTTACTGTGGCTTCCTCAAGACAAAAAAATAGGAATGTATTGGTTTATCTTTTGGGGGCATCCTTATTCTTATTTGTAAAATAAAGCTAAAATAGGTTTGCCTCACAGTTGCTATGGGGGTTAAAGTTATACATTTAGCCAATGTCACATTTATAGATTTGGGGCTCCAGAGTTGGGGAGATCTGGGTTCAGAATTGTTCTTCTCCCCTGGTTTTGCCCCTTGCCCTCTCTGTGACCAAGAGAAAAGTCTTATTCTGTTTCCCTGTCTTTATAGTGTAGATGCATATGCCCATCTTGGGGTAGTAGTATCAGGAGCATGAACAATGATGTTTGTTGAAAGTACACAGTGCTCCTTATAAGTAGGAGTGAGTCTGCCTTTTGAAAGTAAAGCTGTAAAGGTGGTCACACATGTATGTAGTGATGTAAATGTAAACATAAGGCAGTTGCTCCATTTCCATAGTTTGGCAGGTGTGTCCTAGTGGTCCCACTGTACAACCACTTGCCTGTCACCAGTAGCTTTTGGATATGCAATTGAAGTGTCAGATGGGTATATGCTAAAATCAAAACAATCCCTTGTTCACTCCAACTGTTGGACTGGCAGTTTAACCAGCCTTCTAACTTCAGCCATTGATAGTATCATGAAGAAAGTAGCATGTGCAGCTTAACTTATGGAAACAGCTCATCTACTTTTTGAAGCAGTGTTAACCAACACCCAGGTGGGCATAGAAGTAGGGAGAACTACTGAATTGCTGTAGTGACAATTCCACAAAGCTCCATTGGTTTTCTAAGTTTGTACATGAAAGAACTTACCTATTTTTCATCAGCACAGTTCTGCCCAGCATAGGTTCTCTGGCTTGTTTTCCTGCAGATTTTTGGTATATGTGGTATCAGGTAAGAGTCATTTGTCACACTGTCCTTATTTCCATTTTGCAGTCTGGTAGTGGCCCTAATGAAGAGCTGTCCAAACCTTTAACACACATCCTGGAGCCCGCACAGCATAGTTGAGTGAGAGAATGGCCCAGCTAGCCAACATTGGGGAGCTACTCTCCATGTTGGACTCTCCCACACTAGGTGTGCGGGATGACGTGACAACCATCTTCAAGGAGTCCCTCAATTCTGGTAAGTAGAGAATTGTCCTCACAAGAAGAGCTTGACCTGGAGCTGAGTGTGTTGGGCTTAGAGGCAAATGACTGTTTTCATCTTCAGAGGATGTCTTTAGAAAATTGAGTCTATGGTGTTTTCAGGTATACACATACTAACATGAAAACCATGCAAACAGGCTCATGAATTCATCTTCAGGTTCTGCCATTTTGTCTTAAAAAAAAAAAAAAAACTGTGTGTGTGTGTGATATGTGTTCATTATGTATGTGTCTGCATGTGTACATGAGTGTTTTTGTGTGAGTGTGTGCACTTGTGTGTGTGCATTCAAACATGCCTGTTTGAGTTTATGTGTACTGCATGTGTATAGGTACTCCTGAAGGTCAGAAGATGGTATAAAATTTCCTGGAACTAGAGCTATAGGTCGTTGTAAGCCACCATATATGGGTGCTGGGAACTGAATCTAGGGTTCTTTTAAGAGCAGAAAGCACTCTTAACTGCTGAGCCATTTCTCCAGTCATTTATTTATTTTACTGTGTGCGTGCGTGCGTGCGTGCGTGCTTGAGTGTGCACTTACACAAGCTTATTGCAGAGTGTCCCAGTCTCCTATCACTCTTTGACTTATTCCTTTGCAACAAAGATTCTCACTGAATCTGGAGCTAGGCTGGTGGCCAGCAAGCCTGTTACATATCTTCCTGTCTCTGCCTCCTGGGGCTACAGGTATTCATGACCATGCCCATCTTTTTACATACGTTCCGGGAATTTGAACTAAGATCCTCATGCTTGTACCATAAGCACTATACCCACTGAGCCACCTAGCTATGATAGCATTTCATATGCTTTTGTGACTGTTTAGGCCAATAAGCTTGGAATTAAAAAGGCTTAATGACTTTGGATAGAGTAAAAGGACATTTTCTGGCTTTTATGATAATTATTGAGGGAAAAGGAAGTCTGATGAATTGCCCTTTTTGTTTAGAACGTGGGCCTATGCTTGTAAACACATTGGTGGATTATTACCTGGAAACCAATTCTCAACCGGTATTGCACATCCTGACCACCTTGCAAGAGCCACATGATAAGGTAACTGCTGGGATGGAATCACAGGCCACTTTGTGAATTCTCAGTCGAGTGAGGGTCTCTGTGAAGGCCCATAGCAGTTTGTCCACAGCTTATCTCCAAAAACTGAATACTTATAAAATAATTTGTAGGTTCTGAAAAATTTACAAAGTAACTTCAATTTTAGAGGCTTTTTACAGATCTTGCTCTTTAAAGAAATCTTGTAGTTCCAGTACTGTAGTAGATTAATGGCAATTGAAATAAAGATTTTTTTTAAGATTTATTATTTATTATGTATACAGTGTTCTGCCTGCATGCATGCCTGCACACCAGAAGAGGGCACCAAATCTCATTACAGATGGTTGTGAGCCACCATGTGGTTGCTGGGAATTGAATTCAGGAACCTCTGGAAGATCAGCCTATACACTTAACCTCTGAGACATCTTTCCAGCCTCTGTAATAAAAAAAATATATATATATATCTTTAAACTTGTGCTTTGAGTAGGATTTTTGAACATACCAATAAGGGAAAATCCTTAAGTCCTGCATTCGTAGGTGAGGTTGCCTGCTTTTACAATGCCTATCTATTATGGCCTTCTTTACTCCAGACCAGACTGCAACACCACAGTGGCTTGATTGACATTTAAGGCTAGAGCATGGATGCTTGTCTGTCACAGTAGTAAGGGTCTTCCACAACCTGCTGTGGGTTTGCAACCTTGGATTGTGTGTAAGGGTGGAGAAAAGCTGTAATATTGTCTTGTCTCTCTTTCCAACTCTGTGTTAAGGGGTCCTTTCTTATAGATTGCAGCTGGCTGTTCTCTCGGGCCAAATGAAGAAAACTTGGTTCACTAATGTTTTGAAAATTTCAGATTTGGCTTACTAGTCTTTTGATTGTAGCCTTAGTCCTGATAGGCTAAACCATATCTTCATCCCATGGGCTTATTAAATCTTTTGGGGCCTGTATTAGAGGGAAGACTTTAAAGTTTAGAGTTTATCATTACTGTCTATAATTTTGTTAACTTCATATACTTACAAGAAAATTTCTCTTGCTCTTTTACATTTTCAGCACCTCTTGGACAAAATTAATGAGTATGTAGGCAAAGCTGCCACCCGCTTATCCATTCTCTCACTGTTGGGGCATGTTGTGAGACTACAGCCATCTTGGAAGCATAAGCTCTCTCAAGCACCTCTTCTGCCTTCTTTATTGAAATGTCTCAAGGTAGGATATTTTCAAGGTTTTGAAGGAAATGCTTCCATAAATATTGTTTCTGAAAAGTGCCATAACACAGCTTGTAGGAGTCAGTTCTTTGTTTCTATCATGTGGGTCTCAGGCATTGAACTCCGGTTGTCAGGCTTGGTGGTAGGTTCTTTCATCCACTGAGCCACTTCACCAGCCTTGGATCCATTTATTTATTTACTAACATTTTATGTGTATGTGTGAGTCCCTGCATGTGTATGTATGTACTAGATGCATGCCTGGTACCCTTGGAGGCCAGAAGAGGGAATGGGGTCCTCTAGATACAGAGTTACAGGCTTGTGAACCACCAAGCTGGTTCTGGGAATTGAACTGGGATCCTCTAGAAGAGCAACTTGTGCTCTTAACCACTGAGCCATTTCTCCAGCTCCTCTGGTTTGGTTTTTTGTTTTTTGTTTGTTTTTGTTTTTGTTTTTGTTTTGTTCTTTTGAGAAGGGTCTTGCCACGTAGTCCATCTAGATCTCACTATGGAATCAGGCTGGTTTTCAACATGACAGTCCTCCTGCCTTAGCCTCCCAATTGTTAGAATTACAGGTGTTAGCCACCATGTTTGGCTTGTAGTAGTCCTTTAAAAAAAATGGAGAATTGGGCTGGGGGTGTAGCTTAGTGGTAGAGCTCTTGCCTAGCATGCAGAAGGCCCTGGGTTTAGTTCCCAGTACTAGTGAGAAGATGAATTGTCATTTTAATCACTTGACAGAAAATTAATGCCTTAGAAGTTAGTTGGATGGGTGAGAATAGTGGTGTCCTGTGTTCTGTGTTGTCTCTTACACTTTCATCCAGGTGGTGGTATAGGGCATCTTGAGGATGCTTCAGGACTTGGGAGTTTCAAGCCAAGTTAACCCATCTCTCAGATGAGGTGGTGGAATGTGGGAAATGGTCCCCCAGTATCACCATAATGGTGACAGGGCTTAGTGCTTTTGCTAAGTCTATTTCAGTGCTGTCCCTCAAATTCTTAGGGGTCAGGAAATGAGTACAAGAGGGGCTTCAGATCTGTGACCTCAGGATTTGGACCCTCATCCCAGTGCTGAGCCTGATGACGCCCTTCCCTTCTGCAGATGGACACCGACGTTGTGGTCCTCACAACTGGTGTCTTGGTATTGATCACCATGTTACCGATGATCCCGCAGTCAGGGAAGCAGCATCTTCTTGATTTCTTTGACATCTTCGGCCGTCTCTCGTCATGGTGCCTGAAGAAACCAGGTACAGCTCCAGTGTCCTCATCAGGCTTAACAAGGGAATGCTACCCTTACTGTTAGCAACCAGGTGTTGCAGGGGAAGGAAGGATGTATGGTATTCACTACACAGATGAAAAAATGTTTGGGTGCATCCATTGCAGGACACATAGGACATATGGGGTTGCCAAGATGCTGTCCTTATTTCGTTGGTCAGGAAGGATTGTCAGAGAAACTGAGTAACAGGATGTACAACTTCCTGAATATCATTAGTAAAAATGGGTCACAGCTTCTACCTCTGGGTGCTGTATAACTGAGCTTAGAAAATGCTTATGTCCCTCTGTGCTGATTGTACAGCCACAGCTTCACAGCTTCAGTTGAGAGAACCTATTGGTTGTGAGTGGAGGAGGAGGACACAGACTCCAGTGTTCTCATTAGGGCATGACTGTCAAGCTTATGGGATTTTCCCATATCGTATCATATTGGCAGGCAGTATGGCTCCATCAGAGTGATTCAGAAGCTGTCAGTCTGTGCTGCAGAATCTTCTGGTAATCCTAGTATGAAATGTTCATATTAGAAGATGAAATATGTGTATGGTCTGTGGGAGAGACTGCTGCAGCTTGTGCCATTGAGCACAAGCCTGGTTTGCCAGCCTGGCCATATCTTCTTGGGAGTTACAGTTACTTCTAGAGAACTAGAGTTTCCATAGCGTCTTAGTAAAGCCAAATTAATAGAATTGTCCAAGCAATTTAAGCTAGTTTCTGCATCATATTGTTTCCTCTTTAGTTATAAATCTGCACAACTAAGATCATATCTTGGTTTTAAAATCTCTTACATGCTCATTGTACAAACCCTCACATGGTCATTATGCATCAGTTTCTATGTGTGATACTAGGGAAGAGGGAGAAGGATAGCCCCCTTTTCAAGACACACATACTTGAATCAGGCAAGAAATGTCACTACAGATTGAAGGGAGAGTGACACTCAGAGGAACCTCAGTGTTGGAAGAGTGTTTGGAGGTGTTGTTGTGGGGGTGGCTGGAGAGGAGGAGGAAGGCAGAGATGAAAAAATACCCTTCTAGGCCACATGAAGCAGATTGGAGTTTACCCAGAGGATTCAATGGTGGGTTTTAAACAAGGCCATATGGCATATCCAGATTTGTGTGTCTTACCCTTTTTAAGCTCAGTTGGCAAGCTTCAGAGAGAAAGCCTGCTGGTATCCTCAAGTTCATGTCTGTACAACTGGTTTCTTTCCTTAGGCCATGTGACAGAAGTCTACCTTGTCCATCTCCATGCTAGTGTTTATGCCCTTTTTCATCGCCTTTATGGAATGTACCCTTGTAACTTTGTCTCCTTCCTGCGCTCGCACTACAGTATGAAGGAAAATGTGGAGACTTTTGAAGAAGTTGTCAAGGTGAGTTAAAAAACAACAGCTGCCCATCTATTCAATCCTTAGAGCTTCTTTTAGACAGGTACTTTTATAGCATTTGTATTATATGGCAAACAGGAAAATTTTGAGAAGAATCCTTGGCACTTCTACTTCAAACCAGGTAGCCACTATTTGTCTTTCTGATTCCCTAGTGAAGAGTTGCTATACTGTGCATTTCATATACATGGGAGCATGCAGTGTATGCTCTTTTGTGATTGGCTTCTCACTCTAATTTCAAGGTTCATCTGTGTTGTAACATGTATCAGTATTTCATCCCTTTTTGTTGTCAAATAATGTTCCATCATGTGGATTTGCCACACAACTTCACACCTATAATTTGTCAACCCAAACTCTTCTAGCCAATGATGGAGCATGTGCGAATTCATCCGGAATTAGTGACTGGATCCAAGGACCATGAACTGGACCCTCGAAGGTACAGAAACTAAAGTAGTGACAGAATTTTTGAGTCTCTTAAGAGATTGAAAGTGTGATCTACGGATACCTGTGGGAATACAGATGTTCCACTTGCAGAATGGGCTGGACATTTGCATCTAAAGCATAGTCCTCACAGAAAGATCCTGACTCTGTGAGTAGAGCAGAAGTGGTAGCAGCCAGTGCCTGTCCCTAGAAGCCCAGGAAGGCTTGCTTTTGGTAACTTGAGTGGTTTGGGAGGTTAATTGGGTAGCTGAAAACTAGGAGATTACAGAAAGGCCAGATTTGGAGTAATTAGCCACTTGGGTCCCTTTCTTCATGGACATTGCCAGGTGCCTGACACCCCCTACGGGCCCTGCAGGAATCCCTAGGTCTGTCCTGAGGAACTACTGAACCTGCTGAGTTGCATGAAGTACACTTCCTCCTGCCCATCAGGCAGATTTATGTTTCCCAGTGAGGGGATGGAAGCTTTTTTGGGGAAACTGAGCCACAGGTATTAATCTCTGGCATCTTAAAAAGACTAGCTTATGCCTGAAACCCTTACAAAGTCGTGCCTCTTCTGGTCTACTTCTGCCGTGCAGCCTCAGTCAGCTTAAAGCAATGTATAATAACACATAAACATGTAGCAGCCCCAGCCTGAGAAACAGAACATTCCAGTGTTCTGCCTGAGAAACTCTTCCTCCCTACTCCCTGTCTACCTCAGAGGCAGCTCTGCCTTGCCTTTATGTTCACTGTTTTCTCTGTAGTTTGCCATATATGTGGCTTGTTTGGAGTAGATTGATGTTAGATACAGGCTTGCAGAGGATGAGGGGAGGGGCATTGTCAACCTTGATGGTCCTGGCTTCACCTTCTTTAAAGCACTTTAAGAGTGCTTTCCAGGCAGTCACTGCAGTGTCACAAGTGAAGCCTGGGAAGCATAGGCTTTCTCTGTCTGTGTCTGGCAAAGCTTCTCATGAGGGCTATTGTCAGATGTGCTGTCCTGGCTGCTCCAGCATTAGGGGTAGATCTCTGCAAAATCCTCCAAATGCTGATCTAGGGAGTGAGAGCTTCCTCAGTATGTAGTGAAGTCCAGTCCTTCCTACACTCCAGTGGGGGACATCAAAACCTGTTTTTCCTTTCTGTCCCTACTTCCTGCAGGCTTCCTTGTCATTGATGTTCAGCCTTGCCCCTTTAGTTATTCCCACTGTTACACGCTTTTTGCCTGGGTGTTCTCTTTAGTTTTCAGAGTGCTTTTCTTTAGTCACCTATCTTTGTCTCATAGATACAGTGTCTTTTTTATTTTCCCTGCACAGTCTGTTTCTTCTAAGCCCCCCTCCCCCGATTTCATTACTTGTTTTGATTTGTTCTTTTTAAGTCTTTGAGGCTTTTACAAAGCTTTAATGATTCTCCTGTGCTTGGGTGAGAAGACAAGAAAACTGGTTGTGAGCTTGGCTGTTTTATCTAGAACATTCTTGTGTGGATCTGAGCTTCGGAGGGAGATACCAACACTGGGATTATGCTCTTCTTTAGCTGGTCAGATTTTTAGAACATTCCTTATATCTCCAGGCTGGTGAGGATCTGGCTATTTCTGCAGAAGAGGTAGGTAAGGAGAGCTTGGTGGTTTGGACATTTAGATTGTGTAGTTTCTCATAACTTTCTAGCCTGGGATGCATTCATGTCCCCACCTCTTCTGCTGAAGCTTTGTTCTGGCCTGGCTTCACTTTCCTGGGGAGAATCCCCTTGCCAGGGAATAACCAGATTCCCAGTGAGGAACAGAGCTGCTTTCCAGGAACATAGAATTGGAAGGGATCTCAGGTGCTCCATGCTTCTCCAAAAGTTTCTGCCCCAGCTGCTTCAGGGTAGCTGTCTCTAGCTTCTTGCTTTTCACTTCCTCAGTTCCAGAAGATCTGGATGGACCCCTGAGAGTTGTGCAGTATAAACCAGCTGACTGGTGGCTTGAAGCTTTGGATTAGGGCTTTGTTTCTTGGGTTGGACAGGCCAGCTACTACCTGTCTACTGCTCTTCATATTTAGACACTTGTGCTTTCTATCTTCTTTCTTCCCTGTGCTTTGTATTTGAAAATAGGTCTTTATTGTAGATGGTGGAACTCCAGGAGATTGTACAGTTGGGTGAAATGTTCAGTCAGCCATATTAACTTGGGGGCCTTCCAGCAGCACATAGCACCTCAGGGCCCAGGGTTATGAACCATCTGGTTTTTAAGGAAGCTTTGTCTGCTGTGAGAGAGAAAGTGTGGTAAGGAAAGGGAGCCAGGAAAAACATTGAGAGAGAAGCCACAGAGCAGACAATTGTGTGTGGTTGTGTGGGGGCAGGTGACACAGTAAAGGGCTCTTGAAATTAAAACGAACTCCCAAATAAGCATGTCAGCAAAAGGAACTGGAGGTACAGCTGAGACGGGCTCATTTGAGCAGAGGACAAAAGCAGATGACTGAGAACAGCTTTAGAATGGTAGGCAGAGCCCAATAGCCAATAAAAAAAAATTGAAAGGAGAAGAGGACATTTTGATAGAAGAAGAACTTGTAAAAGAAATTTCCTGAAGTCAGAGCTTCTAGATTGAAGTTTATCTAATGCACAGATCAGTCAATTCGAAGGAATGCTGCCAAGCCTCAACTTTGTGAGATTTCAAAACACTAGAAGAATAAACCTCTCAGAAAGTGGAAAGATAAAAACAGCCAGACATTTAATAAGAACCAGAAGTCAGAATAGTATCAGCTTCTTTACTCCTTAAGAGGTTTTCAAGTTAGAGTTCTGTGGTGTGAGGCTCTTTTAGACAGGCCAGGACTCAGAGTTACCTCCCCACTTCCCCCACATCTCCAGCTGGCCAAGGGGGAATGTTCTACCAAAATGAGTCCAAGAATGTTGGGACTTGGTCAAAGAGGTATCAGAACAGTGGGCTGAGGAATGGCGCAGCTCCAGAAGGGAGCTGAGTGGGGTGAGGAGACTAAGTAACCCTTGTAGATTTTTCATTTCCTTATGTGAGAGAGACAGTGGACATCAATCCAGAGAGGTCAGGGTAGTTCAGTTAGTATTGGGCACTTCACGAACTGAGAAAAGGAAACAATGCCAGGCCATACCAAGTGAGAAATCATATCAGAGCCTCTCAGCTCTGCTGTGACTGATGGATGCTTACATAATCTTAATAATTGCTTAAGACAATTTTGGAAAAAAATGAAAATAGTTAACCCAAAGAGGAGGAGAAGGATGGATAGCAGTGATGCTGGTCCTTAGAGCAAGTTTATAAATGAGAAACATAGTACTTGTTAGTTCTTAGAGAGTTGGGGAAACAATTCAGCTGGCATAGCTGGAGGCAGCAGCCAGAGTAGTTGTCAAAGAGAACAGTGTGAGGCACCCTTAGCGTGGCACTGACTTGTTGATTCTCCCCATAGAGACCAGTTGGGCCTTGCCCTCTTAGTCTTCCTTTATCTTCTCTGACCTTGGGGTTGTAGGCTACGGGGACTGTAAGCTACCGTATTTCAGTGGCTCTTAGATGCCATCAAATGTACAACATACATACATTTTATGTAGGTCTGAGAAGAGAGATACCAAGTAAACAAGTGTACAGCTCTTAAGATTGTAGTTTGCACTTTCAGAGACATTAAAATACAAACAGTCTATTTAAGCCTGGTGTGTGGTGTATACCTTTACTTCCAGCACTGGGGAGGCAGAGGCAGGTGAATATCTGAGTTTGAGGCCAGTCTGGTCTACAGAGTGAGTTCCAGGACAGCCAGGGCTATTACGCAGAAAAATCCTGTCTCATAAAAACTAAAAGCAAGATTATTTTTAAAAAGGCTATTTAAGTGTCAAGAAAATACAATGCTGTTTTACTTGAACTAAAATAAAACATTTGGAGCCAGTGAAATGGCTCAGTGGCTAAAGGGACTTGAAGCTACATGGTGGAAGGAGAGAACTAACCCCCATAAGTTGTCCTCTGACCTCTTCAGGTACATGCTACTACACACAAAAGGATTGTAAAAATATTTAGCTGGATTCTTTCCCAGAATGTGCAGTACTCAGAGTTCAATCCCCAGCACCGCAAAAATAAACAAAACATCTAATGTAATATTTATTTACTTATTGTGTGTGTCTGTGTGTATATACATGCACATGTACATGCATGCGTGGACACGTGTGTGGCGGAGAGGACAGCTTATTGGAGTAATTTTCTCCTTCTACCTGTGTATAGATTCCAGGGTTTGAACATGAGCAGTCAGAATTGCCTCAGTTGTCTACCTGCTGAGTCATCTTGCCAGCTCATTCTTTCCCTCCCTTCTTTCCTTCCTTCCTTCCTTTTGTTTAAACAATATCTTGAGGACAGCTACATAAGTTGGAAAGTTCAAATCCTAGCCCTTCCTATCATACCTGCAGGCGGTAACTAAACCTCAGCACCTCTTCAACACTGAGGTTGAGCACAGCAGGGCCATGACCTCAGGAGAACTGAAGGCAGGCAGGAAAATCGTACCCCCGTGCTTATATATCTTGACTCCTCAGTTAATCTCTTTCTAGTCATGTTGAGGGAAAGAGGACCCATATACATGTCTTTAGCAGTCATCACCTAAAGGACAATGCTTGAAATACTGGCCGCTCAGAGAAGCTGCTTTGTGCTCTGGCCATGTGCTACACACCTTCCTTTGTATTTAGTGCCACATTTTCAACACATGAGAATGAACAGGCATTCCATAAGTGTGTGCAGATCACATGTGTTGTTAGGGGAACCCACACAATGCTCTTAATGTTGTTGTCCTCCTCCCTGTAAATATGGACAGAGGACAGAGTCCTGTCAGGATGACCATGGACTTAAGAGCCACAGACGGTAAAGCTCTGTGTCTTAGAAGCAGGTTTATGCTTGGGCAGTGTGCACAGTCTAAGTGTTCTGCTGGTTTGGGGCCATTTGTAGAACATTTGGCAGATCCAAAAGAGAGAAAAGAAGAAACTAAGAGAGTGAATATTGCCTGTAAGTAACTCCAGGGTTTTGTGTTGCTGGAGATTAAGCACAGATCTTGTAGATGTTGGACTAGCATCTATGACAGAGCTACAATCCAACCTCTAGTTTGTATGTTTGTGGCGGGGGTGGGAGGCATGTGTATGTGGAGGTCAGAGGGCAACTTTTCAGGGGTCAGTTCTCTCTGTTTTGAGGCAGGGTCTCTGTTTCTGTCCCTGCAGTCCATTGGCATTGGAGCTTCTGGCTGATTCTTCTGTCTCTCTCTGCCATCTTGCTGTAGGACTGCTGGGATTACAGTTGAGTGCCACCACATCTGGCTTTTTATATGGGTACCAGGGACCAAATTCAGGTCTGTCAGGTTTACTTGAGGGGTAAATGCTTTTACCTGCTGAGTTATTTCCCAGCCCCTCTAGTTGTTTTAATTTCAGTACTTAATACTCTCAGTCTGTTTGTGGGCACTTATCAGAACAGCTTTATATTTTTCTCATTTAATATACTCTAAAGTGATGAGATGGCTCATTGGTTTTAAAGTGCCTGTTGCTAAGCCTGATGACCTGTTCACTCCGTAGGACTCACATGGTGGAAGGAAAGAACTGACTCCCACAAGCTGTCCTCCAATCTTCACATGTCTTGCTGTGGCATTCCTCTGCCCCCAAGTAAATAAATAAATGAAAAGGAAATCTTTTGAAAAGAAATTATATTCTAGTCGGGTGTATCCTAGCATTTGGGATTGCCACAAACTCAAGGACAGCCTGTGCTACAAAGTGAGTTTCAGGGGAGCTAGGATCACAGAATGAGACCCTGATTAAAAAAAAAAAAAAAAAAAACCCACGAAAGATAAAATTTAAAAAACCCAAGCAAAAAGATGGTGAGAGTCCTTCAGTATTTGAAAACATGATTTTTAAAATCAATGTTAGTAATGTGTATGGTTTACATACAATAAACAAAAGTTGTGTTAACTTTTGACATCAGTTGTGTCCACAGTAAAGGTTTCCATGGCCTGTGGCAGCCACTGATCTTTTGAAAGCCTGCTGCTCACAATGTTGTGCTGACCACTCTGCCTTATTCCTGTCAAAGCCATGTTGTGGCTCAGCATTGTGTCCTGTGTTTCTGTAGGATTAATTGGAGGTGTGTGGGCCTGAGCCTCACACTGCAGAAACTCTTTAACTTGGTTTACATGTCTTTCAGTCTTAATTGGTTGCATGGGGTCCAGGGATGTGTTAGAAGAACTTGTAGGCTTTGACTGGAGACCTCAGGTCAGCCCAGATGCTTAGTGCTTTCAGCTCCTCCCATTCCTTGATTGCCTTTGCTTCAAAGCAGACATTCCTGAGAGCTGTCTGTGTAGTATATGAGGCTATTCTTCATCTTTGTTGGTGACGTTTTTCTTTCAAACTAGTTACTATTAGTTTCATGAAGCCATTTTAACTAGGGGAGGTGGTTTGTTAGATGGATGGCTAGTTTTTATACTAGTACTATTCCTACTTGGATTGCCATGGTTGTGCATCATGTTTTGCTAATCACAGTCCAGTAGCTGGCACTGAGTCTGCCTCTTGAGGATTTAACTGATGTGGTTAGGTGGATTAGTGCATGCCTTTCTTGACTTGTGTTGCCTTTTCCAGGTGGAAGACATTAGAAACTCATGATGTTGTAATAGAGTGTGCCAAAATCTCTCTGGACCCTTCAGAAGCCTCGTATGAAGATGGCTATTCTGTGTCTCACCAGCTCTCTGCCTGCTTCCCTCACCGTTCAGCAGATGTCACCGCCAGCCCTTATGTGGACACACAGAATAGCTATGGTAAAAAGCAACTTTGATCCTCTCTTTTTGCACCTTCATCTCTGGAAAGCACTGTTTTTATTTTTGCTTTCAATCTCTTCCTAGAGTAAGACTTCTTTTACTGCCTATGGATTTCTCTCAGAATATTTTAAATTAGAGCTTACCTCTATTTTGTTTGAATTATTTTCTATCCTTTAAGTTTAACTGTTCTCAGTCCCTCATCTGATAATGTAGCATATCCCCAGACTAGTCCTCAGCACATAACACATTGAGGTCTTTGCTTACATCTGGTCTCTGTGTCATAAGAGACTCAGCTTATAATGGGGCCCCACAGACTGACATAGTCTGAGAGTCTGATCTTGGCTATAGCTGGAATGGAGGCTGCACATCAGGCTGTTAGGCATGGTGTACCTTTTAAATTATCCTAGAGTCAGACCTGCCTGAACTTTAACTTCCAAAGGGCATTTTCTAATGCATTTTTTGTTGGTTTGTTTTGTTTTTTTGTTTTTTGTTTTTTGAGACAGATTTTCTCTATAGCTTTGGAGACTGTCCTGTCCCTTTTTTTTTTTTTTTTTTTTTTTTGGTGTAGATTTTTAAAAATATATGCAGTGTTCTGCCTTGCATGTATGCCTACAGGCCAGAAGAGAGCACCAGATCTTATTACAGATGGTTGTGAGCCACCAAGTGGTTGCTGGAAATTGAACTTAGGACGTCTGGAAGAGCAGCCAGTGCTTTTAATCTCTGAGCATCTCTTCAACCCCTCCAAAGGGCATTTAAAGAATGCCCTTTAAAGGCCCTTTAAAATCTTTAAAGGCTGGATATGGTGGTACACACCTTTAATCTCAACACTCAGAAGGCAGAGGCAGTAGATCTCTTGAGTTCAAGGCCAGCCTGGTAACATAGCCAGTTCTAGAGCAGTCAGGGCTATACAGTGAAACCCTGTCTAAAAAAAAAAAAAAAAAAAAAAAAAAAAACCAACCCACAAGAATCTTTAAATGTTAGTTTATTTCCAGAGTTGTCCAAGCTTCTAGTGATTTTTTTGTTTGTTTATTTGTTAGTTTTTTGAGACAGGGTTTCTATGTGTATTCTTGGTTGTCCTGAAACTCGCTCTGTAGATCAGGCTGGCTTCAAACTTACAGAGATCCATCTGCCTCTGCCTCCTGAGTGCTGGGATTAAAAGCATGTGCCTCCAACTGCCTGGCTGCCCCTAGTGGTTTTAAATAGAGAATTGAGTATTTCAGATGGTCTAGAGGATTGTGGTTGTTTATCAGAATGACTCAGCACCCCATACTCACCCCTACCTCCTTCCCTTTCATTTCAGGGGGCACTACTTCCACCCCTTCCTCCACCTCTCGGCTGATGTTGTTCAGTCCAGCTGGGCAGCTACCTCAGAGTTTGAGTTCCCCATCAACACGGCTGTTACCTGAGCCGCTGCAAGTATGGTGCCACTCAGTGTGCCTTCCCCTCCTCTGCCTCCTGGTGAAATTGGGCCATTGGTCAGGATTTAGTATGTAGTGGGAAAATTGGGCACACTGAATTTCAGGAGGGTCCTTAAGGGCCCATGATAGGAGCAGAGAAAGCCATTGTTGCTATATGGGCAAATTGGAGTACAGACTCTTGAAATGTAATTTGTCTTGTAGTAAAGATTTTATAACATGCAGCTTGTAGCTAAAAAGGCCACATCTACACTGAACATTGCCTAGAAGTCTTGTGCAGGACACAGTGCTTACTTGCTGATTCTGATGTTGCTTATTGATTCTAGGCTACTCACTGGAGCCCATCTATGGTCTGTGGTATGACCACTCCGCCTACATCTCCTGGAAATGTCCCACCTGAGTTGTCACATCCCTACAGTAAAGCCTTTAGTACCACTGGTATGTAGGTCTTAGTTTGACTTGATTGGTTGGTTTGGGCCTGTGTTTTGTGACAGAGGAACTCATAGTGACTTTGGGAGCATTTGGCAGTAATAAATTTGTTTTTGAAGCTTAATGTAAGCTTCTGGGCTTCTTCAGATTAAATAAAGTAAAGAGATAGAAAGACAGATAGGTGCTGAGGCTGATCCGAATTCCAAAAAGTTAACTGGACAGCTGTATTTGTAGCCATAGCAGTGTTGAGGAAACAATGACCTTTCTGATATTTGGCTCAGCCTTTATATGTACTGTCCTTGTCTCTGAGCAGGTGGAAAAGGAACTCCTTTGGGAACCCCAGCAACCTCTCCTCCTCCAGCCCTGCCCTGTCCCCCAGATGACTGTGTGCATGGGCCATCCTCCCAGGCCACAGCCACACCCCCCAGGAAGGTGAGTGGCAGGCCAGATATACCAGTGCACATCCCACCTTGTAAAGCCTAATTATGCCAAGTACCATCCTGACCCCAAATGGGATGGAATTGAATCATAATAACTGAAAATAGGTGTCATCGGTTCTCAAGGCATGACCTGCCAACCCTAGGACCCTGAAGCCTTTCAGGCTCAATGGGTTAGGCCTGCTTTCAATTCAACATTGATGGCTGTGTGCTCTTCCTATGGCATTGATATAGTATAGACAGTAGTAAGATGCTGACACCTTGGGCTGGAGAGATGGCTCAGAGATTAAGAGCACTGACTGCTCTTCCAGAGGTCCTGAGTTCAATTCCCAGCAACCACGTGGTGGCTCTCAACCATCTGTTATGAGATCTGGTGCCCTCTTCTGGTGTGCAGATATACATGGAAGCAGAATGTTGTATACATAATAAATAAATAAAATCTTTAAAAAAAAAAAAAAAAGATGCTGACCCCTTAACACAGACCAAGTTAGAGACCAGACCTCAAGGTGCTCTTTCAGCTTAGAAATAGGAGGTGGGGAGGGGGATACTCCACTCTGAGAAGCAGAAATGATGAGTTTTCATTAAATCCGGGCCTTGAAATTATATACATACCCTTTGGGAATGTAGCTGGGTATTGTGGCACACATTTAATCCAGGCTCCAGGGACTGAGGCAGGAGGATTGTGAATTCAAGGCCAGTGTAGATGCAGTGAGTCTCTGTCTCAAAAGAGCCAGAAAATGAACAAAATAAGAAATATACTCAGAGCATGTTTTATTCCACACTGTAGCTGTTTGAGTTGGAACTGAACTAGCTGCTTTTTTTTCCTGTGGAATATGATTTGTCTGAAAGATAAGTGACTGGCAGATTGTTTATTCAGACCTGGACATTTAGCAGGAAATTTCTTTTTAGTTGACTTTTTTTTTTTTTTTTTTCAGATTCAGTACAGGCTAATGGATTTCATTATGACATTTTCATACTTATATGATTTTGCTCATATTTTCTTCTTTCCCTACCTGTGACAGTTTCTTAAATGATGAACCAAGTCTGTCACTTCAAGGTAAACAGCTGACAATGATTAATAGTTAATAATAAAATCCAACTTGCAAGTGAAAATAGGTCATTAAAAAATTTGTGCCTAGGGCTTGGCATGGTGACGCACACTTTTAGTCCCAGCAGTCTGGAGGCAAAGGCAGGTGGATCCCTGTGAGTTCAAGGCCAGCCTGGTCTACGTAGCAGGTTCTAGGTTATCCAATGCTACATAGATCCTGTCTCCAAAAAACAAACAACTTAGCCAGGCACGGTGGTACACACCTTTAATCCCAACAGAGGAAGGTCAATCTCTCGAGTTTGACATCAGCTCGGTTTACATAGTGAGTTCCAGGATAGCCAGGGCAACCCAGGAAAACACTTTCCAAAAACAAAAACTAAAATATTGTACTACCATCAATGCTATTTGTGCAAGCTCTGAAGATCTGAGCTCAGGTTCCAGTACCTATGTTAAAAAAAAAAACAAAAAAAAAAAACAAAAAAAAAAAAACACACTTAAAAAAAAACAGGTGTTGCTGAGCAAGCCTGTGTCCCCAAGCCCTGCTGTTAGAGGCAGGAGGACCACTGGGGGTTGCTGACTACCATCCCAGCTCAGTGAGAGGCCCTGTCTCAAGGGAATATAGCAGAGAGTGATAATGCAGGCCTCTGGCTTCTGTGAGCATATGCACATGTACACACAAAGAATAAATATACAGTATGAAGCATTTGTGTGTTTTCAGATTCTACACTGTAACTATGTTTTGAAACCATAAGATGAAATATACATTTTACTTTTGCATATCTGTAAGGGCCCCCATTTTCTTCATATGTTTCAGACAAAGTAACACAGAGAAAAATTTCAAGAGTAGAATGTAGGCAAATTCAACTGGTTTTGTTCTATGTAGCTATTGTCTTAGAAAATGCATTTTGTAAGCTGGGCGGTGGTGATGGTGGTGGTGGCGGCGGCGGCGCACACCTTTAGTCCCAGCACTCAGGAGGCAGAGGCAGGTGGATCTCTGTGAGTTTGAGACCAGTCTGGTCTACAAGAGCTAGTTCTAGGACAGCCTCCAAAGCCACAGAGAAACCCTGTCTTAACCCCCCCCCCAAAACAAAAACAAACAAAAAGAAAATGCATTTTGTTTCATAAAAGAATGCCATATGCATTAACATGACATTAGTGTATTATTTGAAATTAATAACTTCCCTTTAATTTCTGTCTTAATTTCAGATTAAATACTTTGGTAAATTTAACCATGCAGATAGAAACTCCTGAGACTGATACACTCTAGCAGGTGCACAAGCACACACATATAGATATGTAGGTAGGTAGGTAACTTATTTCATGTGTATGTGTGTTTGTGTGCCTGGTGTCCATAGAAGCCAGAAGCCAGAAAAAAAGCATTAGAGACTTACTTATAATTCAGGGAGTAGGGTTACAGATGGTTGTGAGCTGTCATGTGGGTTCTGGGAATTGAACCTGGGTCCTCTGAAAGAAGAGCCAGTGCTCTTAGCCACCAAGCCATCCTTCCATCTTTAATTCTTAACTTTCTTCATATTCTAAAGGGATTTTGAAGTCAAGTAGTTCACTGGACTAACCTTTAAACTCCATTTACTGTATGCCACAGAACATGCCCACCATTTTCACTGTGTGCTTCTATTTTCAGGAAGAAAGAGCAGATTCCTCGAGGCCTTACCTGCAGAGACAGCAGTATCTTCTAAATGACCGAGGACTAGGTAAACTCCCTGGGTAATGATGGATCTGGCTTATCTCTTTGCAGTGAGTTCTATAGTTTCAAAGCTAAGCTAGGTGGAGAGAGGGTGGTCTCGAGTAGCACTGACGCCGACTCTTAGAGACACACACAATACCAGTATTAGAAAGTTGTTAAGCTACTCCCTGAAGTGTGTCTGCTTTAATAAGCAAGTCAAACTAGGTGATTTTATCTATTATTAGAGACATTATTACCTGTCGGGTGCCATGTCAATGGCCTGAGAATTGTATTTTTTGTGGGGTTAGGTTTGGAACCTTTGTAAATGATGCATAAGTTCTCTGTCTTTTGTAGTGCTCCCAACTTTGCTCATCTGGAAGAACTGTTGTACATGTGTATGCAGTGTGGCAGCTTTGTGCTTGCAGGGGTTAGCCAGTTTGACCTGAGTTGTCTCTGTCTCTCTGCAGAGGATCCACCTGCAAGCAAAGGTTCTGTTACTCTGGGGAATCTGCCGGATTTCTTAGGTGACCTGGCTTCTGAGGAAGATAGCATTGAGAAAGATAAGGAAGAAGGTAAAGTGTGTGGGTTGCTACAAGATGATGAAAGTGTCCACTTCTGTCTCAGAACTGGGCTCTAGACTTAAAACTCATGAGCTTTCTTGGCTTTATGTGTTGGTTAGTGTTCTAGCGTATACAAGGAAAGGATTGCCTGCTTTAATTCCCCTGTAGTACACAAACCCAAGCCCATTTGCTTGGATGAGTGTTTACAGGGTTCCCTTGTTTCCCCACCCTCATTTCAGCTGCAATATCCAAAGAGCTTTCTGAGATCACCACTGCAGAGGCGGATCCTGTAGTTCCTCGAGGGGGCTTTGACTCTCCCTTCTACCGGGACAGTCTCTCTAGTTCTCAGCGGAAGACTCATTCAGCAGCCTCTGGGACTCAGGGCTCCAGCGTGAACCCTGAGCCTTTGCACTCCTCCCTGGACAAGCATGGGCCTGACACACCAAAGCAAGCCTTTACTCCTATAGACCCACCCTCTGGCAGTGCTGATGCCAGTCCCGCTGGGGACAGGGATCGCCAGACTTCTCTGGAAACCAGTATCCTCACTCCCAGCCCTTGCAAAATTCCACCTCAGAGGGGAGTGAGCTTTGGAAGTGGGCAGCCTCCCCCATATGATCATCTCTTTGAGGTGGCCTTGCCAAAGACTGCCTGTCACTTTGTCAGCAAGAAGACTGAGGAGCTGTTGAAGAAAGTGAAAGGAACCCCTGATGAAGACTGTGTGCCCTCTACCTCCCCAATGGAAGTACTGGACAGACTGATAGAACAGGGAGCAGACGCGCACAGCAAGGAGCTGAGCAAGTAAGCCTGGGCCCTGTTGTTGTTTCTAGACAGCACAGGACCACAAGGGCAGTGCAGGACTACCCCTTTCCACCTGTACCTGAGGCAACTGGTTCTCTTATGTTTTCTTAGATGTCCTTGTATTCGATTGCTTTTCCATGTCTAGAGCACCGGCACTTGTGTTTGGATGATCTGTGAGATAGATGGTGTCCACTTGTAAATAACTCTTCAGTACCATTTTGTGCCTCTTTTCTGTGTGGATGCTCCAGTGGGTATTTGCACATTTGTTCTCTAAAAAGAATTTGTTCTGAATGAGGCCATAATAGCTCAGAGTTAAGTAGCACTCATCTCAGTATGTCCTCCAGTTAGAGGTTTGTTTTCTCTTATGCTTTTGGTGAAAGCTGAGATTATAAGCATTCTGTACAGGTTCAGGTAGCTAGATGCTCCACAGAGCACATGGGCTGCTTAAGAGCTGAGGCAGCTTCCAGTCTTTTTTTTTTTTTTTTTTTTTTTTTAAACCCTGTTTGAGGATTCCAGGGAAAGCGCAAGAATTACCAGGCTAAGTTGGGTTTGACCCTTTTGCCCCTGGTTCCTGGGAAATGTTAGTTTATTCTTTTGTTTGTTTTGAGACATTGTCTCACTATGAAGTCCAGGCTAGTCTGGGATTCATGATATTCCTACCATGGTCTCCCAAAGCTGAGATTATAAGGTTGTACCACTACACCTGGCTAGTTTTTGCCTTTCTTCTATATAAAACCCTAAGGTGGAATTTGAAAAGAATATTTAAAGCTTCACATCTAAAATGAAATTTGGTGTTTTAGAGAGTCAGGTAAATATCATCTTAACAGGGTGACAGTAGCTTGTTCAAGGAGAGAGCAACTCTGTGTCTGCATGAAGAGAGGTGGGGGTAGAGCTCCATGTTTTCCCGCAAAGGGTGGTTGGACAGCAGATCTTATGACACAGCCACTAAGCCAAGGAGCTCAATGCTAGGGCTGAAATTTAGGTATACACAATGGACTACCTACCCCTTCCCAGACACCAAGACTCCCTTCTAGATCAGCTGAAGACTTGGAATATGAGAGTTCTCTTAAGTCACTGCATATTCTAACTACAAAGGTGTGAGCTAACCTTGCTACAGCACAAAGTCCATTTTGGGGTGGGGCTGAGGATGTAGCTCAGTTGGTAGAGTGCTTGCCTAGCATTCATAAAGCCCTTCATTTGATCACCAGCACCATATAAAATGGGGCATGGTGGCCCATGCCTACAGTCCTAGCACTTGGGAGATGAAGGCAAGAAGATCAGAAGTTCAGCATCATCCTTGGGTACATAGCAAGTTCAAAGCCAGCCTGGGATGCATGAGACTTTCTCAAAACACCATCGACAACAACAAAAAGTCCAGATTTCATGTTTTCTAGGTCAGATCAGTAACTTATTATAAAATCTTTTCCTAGGTTGTCCTTACCCAGCAAATCTGTTGACTGGACCCACTTTGGAGGTAAAGTTGTTGCTTCAGCACACATCCAGCCCCACTCATCCCCTTTCTGCCCTCAGGAAAGGGCTCCCTTTGGCTCCTGCTCCAGTTAGCTACCTGCTTGGCAAGAGGATCCCAAGTGTTGCTGAGTCAGTGTTTCATATTTTTAACGAGTGTCAAGTACTATGGACTTGGGAGTTCAGTGAAAAAGTGAGCACCAGGTTTCCCTAGAAAAAATCTACTTGGTGGGAATGTTCTGGGAAGTCTCCTGGGAAGCATAGCAGTGAGGGACCAATGGCAGAGGGAAAGGAGTCAGAAATACCTTCATGATCAGGTTTCCTGCCTCAGGGGGCCCTCCGCTGGTACCACCTTTGGATGCTTTAAAGGGAAGGCAAGTAGAAGATTCTTCCATCTCTTAAGAATGGTGGTGCTGGGAACTCACACACTTGACTGGGTGGTGTCAGAATTGTATGTACACATGTGTGGAGACAGGGTCTCTCACTGGCCTAGAGCTTGCTAATGTACCAAGATTTGCTGGCTAGTGAACTCCAAGGGTCTGCCTGTCTTTGCTTCCCCAGTGCTGGGATTACAGGCACAAACTCCCATGCCTAAGTCTTTTTTCATGGGTTTTGCATATCAAACAAGGCCCCCATGCTTGCACAGCAAGCACTTCATGGACTGAGCTGTCTTCCAAGACCCCAAGAATTACCTTTCTTAAGTAAGGCACATGGGAGGCCCTTGATGGAGCTGTGTGTAAAAGACCTTTCTGCCACGTTCCCTCTGCTTTAAAATCAGGCTCTCCTCCCTCAGATGAGATCCGAACCCTCCGAGACCAGTTGCTTTTACTGCACAACCAGCTGCTGTATGAGCGGTTCAAGCGGCAGCAGCACGCCCTCAGGAACAGAAGGCTGCTACGCAAGGTGATCAGAGCAGCGGCTCTGGAGGAGCACAATGCAGCAATGGTGAGCAGGCAGGGGGTATCTGTCCACATTAGGCCTTATAGAGAGCAGATGCCAAAGAAAAGGGCAGCCTTTGTTAGTCCCAGCTCTGCTCTAATGGCTGAGGGCAAGCTGCTTAGCCTGTGAGGTACAAGTGTGCTCAGCTGGATCTCAGAACTTTTCTCAAGCTCTCATGAGAACAAGTGATTTTTTTTTTTTTTTTTTTTTTTTTTTTTTTTGTGACTACTTGGCATTGGCCATGAATGTGAGAGCCAACATTTTATTTTTCCTGCTGATAAGCTGTTTCATGCCACAGAACTGAAGGTATTTGATGTCATGGATATAAAGACCTGAGCTTTTTGGGGTTTTTGTTTGTTTTGGTTATCTTGGGAGGGTTGTTTGTTTGAGATAGGGTCTTCCATATAGCCCTGAAACTGGAACTCGCTCTGTAGACCAGGCTGGCCTTGAACTCATGAGATCGACCTGCTTCTGCCTCCTGAGTGCTGGGATTAAAGGTGTGTGCCACCACACCTGGCTTTCCTTAAGCCTTTTGATGCTTCTTTTCCCATTCTATAGACAACAAATGATAGTGACGGTCTGCGTTTTACCCTGTGGTGTTAAATCCTACCAGTGAACATTTGCCCTTTGCCTCGTCCTGTGATGGTCAGGACCCAGTATTTTGGAGTACTGTATATTCAGGGTCTTCCTCAGCTGGTGGCTAGGACTTCAGCAAGTATCAGAAGCATGGTGTTTAAGGAAAGGTCCGTGTGTTCATATGGAGTTTAGAAAACTTTGACAGTAGAGAAGCACCAGGCCCATAAATGTATGATTAAAATTCCAGGGAAGTGTGTGACTGTCCATGTTGGTGATGTGTGAAGCTTGAGTGTCAGTGCCTGTGTTGGGTAGCACCTAAAATGATGCTGTCTCTGCCTTTGCTAGAAAGATCAGTTGAAGTTACAGGAGAAAGACATCCAGATGTGGAAGTTGAGTCTGGAGAAAGAACAAGACCGGTACAGTCAGCTTCAGGACCAGCATGACACCATGGTGACCCAACTGCACAGCCAGATTCGACAGCTGCAGCATGACCGGGAAGAATTCTACAACCAGAGCCAGGAGTTACAGGTATCAGCTGTGTGCCAGGTGGGCGACAGGAGAAGGCATGGCATCTCTATGTCCTGTCACTTTACTCAGCTTACCTGAGATGAATACTTTGCTCTCCAAAATGACAACTGTATTTCATGTTGGATAGATCTTAACTGAGGACAGACGTTTCCCAGCTTTCGTGGTTCATTATTCCCTTAGTATCCCCACCACCCTGGAGCTAAAAGAAACTGGTAATTGTTCCTCTAAGCCAATGGCTCTCAACCTGTGGGTCATGACCATGGGAACATTCCTATTTCCAATGGTCTTAGGAACTGAGACACCACTCAGTAGCAAAATTACAGTTATGAAGTAACCTGTTCCTCTAAGCCAATGGTTCTCAACCTGTGGGTCATGACCATGGGAACATTCCTATTTCCAATGGCCTTAGGAACTGAGACACCACTCAGTAGCAAAATTACAGTTATGAAGTAACAATGAAAATAAATTTATGGCTGGTGATTCCTAAGACCATCAGAAATATGTGTTTTTGATGGTCATGACCCACAAGTTGAGAACTGCTGCTCTAAGCAGTTTTGAACACTCATTGAGATTGATTCCTTCTGATATAGTAGCTGTTTGGAAACAACACACCTACATTTAAAATATTTTAAACTTCATTTTTAAATAGGCATGATTGATAAGGTCATGTGACTGTGTTGACCCCTGCACAATGTTTCAGTCCTGGAATCAGTAGACAGTGACATCCTCATTTCCTTTCTGTATTATCATACTGCTTTTTTTTTTTTTTTTTTTTTTTTTTTAACATAAGCGAAGCCACTAAAAGCCCAATTTTGCCAGGCAATATCCACAGGCATGTGGCATGTCTCTACCAATCAATTGGTAGTTCCCATGATGTCCCACAGATGTCACTATGGTCCCTTCAAAGAGTGTAAAGTCTGGGCCACATTTCTTTGTGGTGCCTGGCCTGGGACATGTAGTTTGGGAGCTGTAAGGATCGGTCTTTGTTTTTGTTTTTGTTTTTCCCTTTTCTTTTTTACCCTTATCTTAAGAAGTAAAAGACTTGGAATCTCTCCTTTAAAATTGAAAAGTCAAATACTGATGGACAAGAGAGCAGTTAAGGAACAGAGCACCCCCAGCTCTGTCTGTGGCTGTGCCCATAGGTGCTCTTATAACCTCACGGGCAACTCTCTTTGGTAGACAAAGCTGGAGGACTGCAGGAACATGATTGCGGAGCTACGGGTGGAGCTGAAGAAGGCCAACAACAAGGTGTGCCACACTGAGCTGCTGCTCAGCCAAGTTTCTCAGAAGGTAAGACAGGACCCCACCTGCTGACTCTTGCTTCAGGTCAGACAGATGTATTACTCGTATGTCTGTGTTGGTGCTCCAGCAGGGAACATTTCTACTCAGGAAACATTTGGCAACATCTGGAGACACTGGTGCTCCTGGCAGTGAGTTGGTAGGGTCATGGGAACTGCCAAATGCATGGACCCCCCCAGTGCAGATAGCCCTTACAACAAAAGTATCTACTGGGGCCAGGCACATCCCACAGAGCTCTGTAATACCTTATTTATGAAGTATAAACAGTTTGTTAAGGCTTTTGAGCTGTGACTCCCCATAGGGATTCAATGAAATCTATGTGTCATGTATCCAAAAATAGGTGAGTTCACTGGGGCTGTGTCCCGCGGCTGTGTCTGTAACAGTGTTCTTGGGCTAGCTGCAATGAGATATATCCATGTTGCTTCTGTGCAGAGCACAACCCAAGTGTGTTTTTGCTGCCCTTGGTGCTTTCTTCTCCACTAGCCCTAGACTCAGTGGGAATGGTTTATTCTACCCTGCATTGCACTGTGCTCCTCCATAGTCCCTGCCACTGTCTGCTGGCTAGTTTTGCCATGCTGAACTTACATTTTCTCACTTCCATCTGGACAGCTCTCCAATAGTGAGTCGGTGCAGCAGCAGATGGAGTTCTTGAATAGGCAGCTCCTGGTGCTTGGAGAGGTCAATGAGCTGTACTTGGAGCAGCTACAGAGCAAGCATCCTGACACCACCAAGGTATGTGGCCAGGGCACAGAGAGGCACAAAACTGTACTGTCTGGCTATTCTGAAGAGCAGCCAGGCCCAGGCACACAGCACAGTCTAGCCATTGGAGAGCATGAAGTGGGCATGTACTTTGCAGGGTTTCCAGGGTACATACTCAGGTACTACTCTCATCACTGTGACAAAAGTCCTGAAAAAGAAACTGAAGCAAGGAGGGATTTATTGTCTCACAGTTTGAGGGTCTAGTCCATCTTGGCAGGAAGGCTTGGTGGTAGCAGTGTGAGGCATCTGGTCATATTGTGTCCACAGTCAAGAAGCAGAGAGATTGGTGCTTATCTGACTTTCTCCTTTTTATTCATTCTGGGACCCAGCCTATGGGATGATACTGCTCATATTTAAACTTGGTCCTACCACTTAAGTTAACCTAGTCTAGATTAGTCTCTTCTAGATAGGCCTAGAGGTTTGTTTCCATGGTGATTCACATCCTATAAGTCACCAAGACTGGCCATCACACAGTGAAAGCATGAGATGTGACTGCTACAGAGCAGGAGGGAGGGGAAAGATGGGGGCAGCCAGCTCTGTCTAACACACCTTTCGGGGCCTAGGGTGTGTGAAGGGTGCTATGCCCCAGCACCCATGCTGTTTTGTTTCCTTTTCTTTGTGACTCTGGTCCTGCCATGTTCATTCAGTCCTGGTGTCAACATTAAGGCCAGTTAGTGTTTGCCAGTGTGCTGAGACAGATGTCCATGTCACACTGTACCGTCAGCCTTGGGTGGTGTTAGTAAAGGAGCTGAAGTGGAATTTCAAGAGTGTGCTCTGATGTTCTGACACTGCTCCTCCATAAGAGCCTCTAGCACCCTTGAGTCAAAGCTCTCTGAAATGTCATCTATGGTCTCCAAGTGTTGCCTCAGAACTGAGGAGAAAAATTCATGGTAGAGTTGCTTCTTTCTTCTTGGTTCTTCTCAGCCTCCAGTTCAAACTCTGGAGGATGTCAAAAGTGAAACTGTCTAGACTCCAACTCTGAATTACTCTGGAAGCAGAATAGTTTCAAGAGAATGTGGGGAACAGACCCAATGATCCACCCCTAAAGAGCTTGCTGAGGCATATTGGTTTTTTGAGATAGGGTCTGCCTATGTAGCTTTGACTGCCCTGAAACTCTCTACATAAACCAGCTTTGAACTCACAGAGACCCACTTATCTTAACCTCCCATGTGTGGTTGCTGCTAAAACAACTGTTTGATGCCTCCACAGAGGTGACGCAGAGCAGGACGGACTTCTCTTGTTTGGACTCTGAGACGGACAGCTGCCATGTTCCCTCTTGAGAGCTATTTCACAGTTATGAATTGGGAAGCTCACTTGTTAGGTGGGATGCCTTTTGTTGTACATCACAAAACAAAACTTAGCAATATAGAGTTTTATGGCCGGAACTGACAGAAATTCCTGACACGGGTGATTTCCAAGTTGGTCAGGGTGGCAGTTTGGGACCACAAAGAGGAAGCCAGGCTCTTTTCCCTCTTCCCTCTGTTATCTTAGCCTGTTAGCCTTGTCCTCCAGCTAGCTACACTGTTGTGCCAGTTGCCCCAAGTTCAGCCCTCATAGGCCAACCGCATGGTGTTCCCAGGAAGAGGCAAGTGTCCCTTCCTACAGGTGGGTGTCTCTCAGTGAGAACAACCTTTCTCACAAACTTCTGCACACTTCCTACCTTATTTCCTTTTCTGTTAGGTTTGAGTGGTGCTGTGAGGGCCTTGATCAGGCTATGATCTGCCTCTTGGTGGGGTTCTGTGTCACTGTTGTTCAGGCCCATGGAGGAGGTACAGGCATCTAGCAGTCTATGAGGGTTACTGAGATGCCCAGGGCTTGCTTTCTTAATTCCTTGTGTGAATGTCCATAAGTAAGCACAGGTGTCAGTATTGCTGGGCAGGGTTGGTTCTAGGGCCCTGCAAGTCTCCAGATGGTTAGTTCCTCATAAGAAGATGGTATGGTGTTGGCCAGAATCCTCTCATCCTGTAACCTAGGTCACATACATATGCCTATTGTAAGGTCAGCACTTTATAGGTAGCTGTTAAAATGGTATTATTCAAGAATAATGACAAGAACCCAGCATGGCATACTCAGTCCACACAGTGAACATGTTGAATTTTGGCTGGTGGGGTCTGTAGCTGCCTCTGTTACAGAAGTCAGCTGTGTTGTTACCTGGAGCTATTCAACGCAGCTGCAATGCCCACGTTTTCAGCCATTTCTGCCTTCTGCATTCTGGAAATGTCTGATTTACTAGTCAGCATTGAGGCTTGGTGCCTTACAGTGAGGTCACCTCCTTGTAACTTAACAGCTTAGGGTCTTTTTGGAAAAACTGTGTGTGTGTGTGTGTGTGAGGGTGTGAGTGTGTGTGTGTGTGTGTGTGGGTGTGTGTGTGTGTTGGGACTCTGCTTCTATCTAAGGTAACCATCATCATCTGGTGGTTCCATTTACAAGACCACCATCTCAAGGGTGATTTGAGAATCTGTCCTCTTCTTAGCACACGTGACTTGTGAATATCCTACTGTGAAAAGGAAGATCCAGAGTAGGGAATAAATGGATGGAGCTTGCTATCTACATTGGCTTCATTCCTAGGATTCTGTCTGCGGAGATGTTGACTCTATCAGTAACATGGGGCACATCAGTCTATACTTAGTATGGATTTGTCAATGCAGGCAGGCCATCTGGGTGACTTGGCTGATAAATTGGCAGGTACTCAGCCTGAAAATGCTGCTTCTTGTGAATATTCTCTTTATGTCACCATCTCAGCTGATAGTGGAAGAGGAAGGGTAAAAAGAAGGCAAATGGCTACTGCCATTCACCTGTGCAAAGAGGCTTATTGGATGCATTGTGACAAACATGATCCTGTGGGCAATGGTCCACTTTTGTGTGTTTTTACTGGTTCTGAATGTAGCCCACAGAGTAAATATATACTTTCTCTCACAGAGCCCTGACATTAGTTCTAAGGGTACTTATGGTTCTTGTCTTTTGTGAACATGCTGTGCAACATGACTTTCCGTGTTTCACATGGTTTCCTTAGGGATAGACATCAAAAATGCCCAGATGGCCTACTTGCCAGGAAGCAATCCTCACTCAGTTGGGTCAGGACACTAAGTGCCTCTCAGTGTTGAGGACACTTCTTGTGAGTTACATTGCACAGTTGTCTGTAAGTACTGACTCCAGACCTTTTTATAGGAAGTAGAAATGATGAAGACTGCCTATCGGAAAGAACTAGAAAAAAACAGAAGCCACCTTCTCCAGCAGAACCAGAGGCTGGATGCCTCACAGAGGCGAGTATTGGAACTGGAATCTCTTCTGGCTAAGAAAGACCACCTTCTCCTAGAACAGAAGAAGTACCTTGAGGATGTCAAGAGCCAGGCGAGGTGACTCACAGGAAGTGTGGGGGTGTGGGAGGGGTGAGGCCCCTCCCATGTTCTGAACCAAGCCCTGTCTTTTAGTGGACAGCTGCTGGCTGCAGAGAGCAGGTATGAGGCTCAGAGGAAGATAACCCGGGTGTTGGAACTGGAGATCCTAGACTTGTATGGCAGGTTGGAGAAAGATGGCCGCCTACGGAAACTAGAAGAGGACAAAGCAGAAACAGCAGAAGCAGCGGAAGAAAGGTAAGAGCGGCTACACCAGTTCTCTATGGAATGCTGTGCTCGAGGTGCCACAGCCAGCCAGGCAGTATGGTGGCCTGTGGAGAGGCAGTGGCAAGCAGCTGAGCTGCTCCCCTCTGCTCAGTCCTTTCCAGAGAGCCATCCTATTGTCTCTTGGCCACACTTGATTATCTGCCTTTACCATTGCAGTCTGTAGTCCAGCATAACCCCAGCTGTTACTCAGCCCTACGGGACACTCTTGTTTGTGTCTGCTGTTACAAACAGAGCCGGGGAGCTGCAAGGATGGCTCAGTGGTTAAAAGCACTGGCTGTTCTTGCAAGAGGACCTTGGTTTGGTTCCCAGCAACTAGGTGAGCCATCTGTAACTCCAGTTCTAGGGAGTCTGACCTTGTCTTCTGGCCTTCTCAGGTCTCAGGCACACACATGGCGCATATACACACATGCATACCCGTAAAAAATTTAAAGAATGGGCAAGCCAGATTCAGGGATCAAGTATAATTTCACACTTCCTCAGAAATGCTACGGTTATCAACTGCATTCTCTCTGGGTCTCTTTCAGGCTTGACTGTTGTAGTGATGGCTGCTCAGATTCCTTGGTAGGGCATAATGAAGAGGCTTCTGGCCACAACGGTGAGGCCAGGACCACCAGGCCTAGTGGCCCCCGGGCCAGCTGTGGAGGCAGAAGCACTGGAGGCAGCAGCAGCAGCAGCAGTGAGCTTTCCACTCCAGAGAAACCCCCAAGCCAGAGGTTCAACAGCCGGTGGGAAACCACTGTGGGTGAGCCCTCCGGCAGCATCCCCACGACTGTTGGCTCACTTCCTAGTTCCAAAAGCTTCTTGGGCATGAAGGCCAGGGAGCTGTTCCGTAATAAGAGTGAGAGCCAGTGTGATGAGGACTGTGTGACCGGCAGTAGCCTTTCTGAGACCCTAAAGACAGAGTTGGGCAGAGACTCAGGCATGGAAAACAAGACTCCCTTTAATCTAGATGCCTCACACCCATCTTCCCCGAACTCGGACAGTGTGGGGCAGCTCCACATCATGGACTACAATGAGACTCATCAAGAGCACAGCTGAAGGGTCTGTCAGTGTTAATTTGCGTCTTTGTCGGCACAGAACAGGAGGTGTGAATGCACGTTCTAGGCTTTTCTGTTTCCAGGGTCTGAGCGGCTGCTTGTGCAGTGGAAATGGGACAGAGGTCATTTTGACAGCTGGCAGAATGTGGGAAGATAGTTTTTGGGTCTGGCATTGAGATGCTTTCCTTCACCCCACCCCAGTCTCTTTCGTTTACCTAGCAGTATGTACTAATTGAGGGCCTGTGCGTGTCCCTTGTAGCTTTATTTTCTTCCTTCCTCCCACCAAATGGTTGTGTCCTTTGAACCTGTGCAATATGAGGCCAAATTTCATCTTTGGGTCCAACACACCACTCTGCTTTCCTGAGGTGCAGATAGATGGGTGGCTTTTGGGTAGACCAGGCAGTTAGTGGCACTGCAGGTAAGTCCAGTTTTGTCCCTTCCAGGAGGATGTAAGTTGTCTTTACAGGAGCCTTTTCACTGCTTTTTGGTTCTGAAGTTCAGTATCTAAAGCCACAGATCTAGAGAAACTAGTTCATTCACCTCTGCCTTCTTTTGGCAGCTCTGAAACGCTTCCTAGAAGGTTCTGTGAGAATACCAGTTGTTTTGATAGTGTAGTTGGCGCTGTGGAGGCCATACTGCTTACTCTCTGGAAAGCTTGTATCCCTCTCCCCCACTACCTCTTATTTATTTGGTATTTGCTTGAATGCTGGCACCATGCTGCCTGTGGGTGGGTGTGTAGGTGGTTGTCCTGCAATCCGCAGACTGAGAAGAGTGGTCACTAGGAGGGGCACCCAGAATGCTTGTGCACATGTGGAAATGTGCTGTTGGCTGGCTCTGTCCCACTGAGCCACAGTTCCACCTTTCAGCCTGTTTGCCTGCCTCCCTTTGTCTACATGCCCGATTACCAGCTGCTTTGTGATTCTGCAGCAGACAAGGCTGGAAGGGTCAGAATTTCCATAGAGTTTATGTGACGTCATTCTCGGGCTCAGGGTGCCTCACCATAGTAGGTTCTAGCAGCTATTTTACATCAATTTTGACTTTGCAGGAGAGATTTCCCCCTGGGGCTTCATGTCAAACACTTCTGTTAGGAACAGCAGAGCGACTCAGAGTCTGGGAAGGTTGATGGAGGCTGCTGGCCTGTACCACTGTCACGAGAGGTGACCAGTCAGAACAAGGTGGTGGCAGAGAGCCCAAACTCAGTCAATGCTCCTGAAATAAATGCTGGAAGTGTAAGAGTTGTTGCCTGATATTCTGGACCAGGCAAGGAGAAACTTGGGAAGGAGCCACGAGCTTGATTTTCTTGTTTCTGTTCTAGCTGTTGTATAAAGGACAGAAGAGTTTAACTACAACAAAGATAAAAGAAACTAATGGTACGAAATCTTACTGCATATGGAAGTTTCCAGCCTGAGGGTGAAAGTCTTTTTTTTAAATGTGGCAGTAACTATCCTAGCATCCCTAAGTAAGGTGAGACTCCTTGTCACCATGGCAGTGCTGGCTGGAGACCTGTTAGGGCCATATCTCTGCTATAGCCAGCCCACAAGAAGACATGCCACTGACCACTGTCAGACCAGCAGAGGCAACCAGTGCCCCAGGACACTCAGTGATGCCATGCTTTTCATTTAGCTCTGCCCAAAGGAAAGTTGAAAACCCAGTGTTCTCCCACCTGATCCATGGTAGAAAAGGGCAGATGAACAGATGGGGAGAAAGATCTCAGAGTTAATGGTAGACACTGCTCCTAAGAGCTGCCCTCCACCCCGCACCCCAAGATGTGTGCTAGAGAAACAAGCCTTTTTCTCTGCATTAGAAAGAAAATTTATAGATTGCACAAGTGTTGAAGTTTAGGGAACAGAGGCAGTGGCTTGGTAAAGCAGACTGAGGTCTAGGCTAGCATGACAACTGATCAAGCTTGGGCCTGCAGCACTTTTCTCCAGTCTGGGTGTTCTGTACCCAGTGACAGAACCTGAGCATCCTGTGTGGTTTGAGTTCTAGAAGGCTGTTGAGGCTTTTTTTTTTTTTTTTTTTTTTTTTTTCTCCTCCAGCTAAGGTTCCTGGGCGGGGGACTGTGACCTGAAGATTGCCCAGCCTAAACATTGGCTCTTTTCAAAGGACTCCAGACTCAGTGGGTGGAGGCTTCTGTTTAGAGAGCAGTGACAGAGCATCTGGGGATCAGTGGGTCACCTGCTGCTGCTGCTGCTGCTGCTGCTGCAGTCAGGAGGGGCACTTCTGAAAGGCAGCTGAGGCCTGGGCCAAGGCATTGGAGCGGTGGGTATCACGGGCGCCTGGTGTGTGTGAATGCTGGGGTTGAATGGCTCCATCCTTGAACCACTTGGAGTTGTGTTGTGGTTGCCCGTGTGACCCAAGGAGACTGGAGGCTGTGTCTCCTTCAGTCTAGAATCTGTCAGAAGCAGCACTACAGTGCCACTGGAGTGGAGGAGCAGGTCAGTGCCAGGAGAGGAACTAAGCACACATCTCTGTCTCATTCCTCCCTGAAGTCTTAAGAGTTTGCTTTGGGAGCAAAAGCAACATGACCATGGACATGAGGAGATAGGCTCTAAGGCATCCCTGGAGCAGGCAGCACAGCTGTCAGGGCGATTGCTGACCTTGATAGCTTTGTTGACCTTTTCAGGAGGGAAGTTTGTTCAATCTTCTGGACTAAGCTGCAGAAGGTTCCTACTGTGTGTGACATGGTTAGTCACTTCTTAGAAAGCAAACTCAAAACCCAAGAAAAGTCCTAGAAGCCACATGTGATTAAAAAAAAATTAACCTCCCCTCCCTAAGCTGCTGTGGCCAGTGGTCAGTGTTTCCTGGGTGGTAGTGGCACCACAAGCCACTGTGATAAGCCACAGACTCAGGGCCATTTGCAGCATATGTGGGCTCTAGTGTTCAGAGGAGAATGAGAAAATGTTAGCAGTTGAATGATCAAGGATGAAAAGACCTCAGAGCTCAGGCTGACAGTCAGGGTAGAAACCGAGGAGTATGTAACAGCAGTCTGGTGTGGTGAGACCAGCCAGCAGGAACCTACCTACCACCTGAAGCCAGAAAGAAGTAAAGAACAAACACAAGTACTGTAGGAAGGTGCTCATTTTCCTGAGCATTAAGGGTAGGAGACGCTGTGGACAAGCTGATGGAGGTGTGGGCATTACACCAGCTCAGCTTGCACTGCAGTACATGGGGTCTGTCTTGGCCAGAGGCCAGCAGTACTACACAGTGAGTCAGATGGCAGCCTGCATCTGCTGCACCTTCGCCCCAAGGTCCATGCTGTAAATCCACTGCTGTGGAAAATATATCCAATGTGAGGGTGTTTGTGTCCTTGTGTACATCCAGAAGTCTGTAGTATGTGTCTCCATCACCGCTCCCCTCTCCCCCCAGTTTGCTGCAGGGTCACTGATTGCCTTGGGTTTAGCCTGTCTGTGTAGGTAAAAATGGGAACTGGCCCCTGGGCTGCTGCTGTGACCTTTGTTCCCACTCAGCTTCCCAGTCTGAGTCCCTGGTGTGCCAAGGGGAGCAATGTTTCTGTTTCTGATGCCACCCCGAGTTTTAAATGAGGTATAGAGAAGCAGCAACGCAGCTACAATGGAAACTGCACCCTGAACACTCTCGGTCTCCGAATGAAATTTAATGGGGGCCAAGAAGTGCCCTGCCCTTCCCAGAACCCCAGTATTATCCATCTCTGGATAGGTAGGCTGACTGAGCCACTGCAGCTGGTCTTTCACTAGACCAGTCAGTCCCTCTCCCTGCCCCACCTCACAGGGTTGGATTGGAGGAGAGGTCATGATGGTGTTTTTTAGCTCTCTGTCGGATCAGAGGCAGACAGGCGTTTTTGCACTAGGAAGATTCAGTGGTCACCCTTCATGAGACTGGACCACAAAACACATTATGGAGGAGCAGGCTTTGCTAAGACATAATTTAGTTTTATAGTCAATCATGGATGAACTATATATGGATAACTTGGAGTTGGGGTGGGGGGGTTCCCATCAGTGAAAACAAATCAGATTAAAAAAAAAAAAAACTTTTTAGTTCAGTGGAAGTCACCTCTTCTCAAAAGGTTTAAACTTTCCCACTACGACCTTAAAAGCATGTCAAACAATCTGCATCAGATGCCATAATACAAGCTACAGGAGAACATGGTACAGTCTCAGTGAATGGAATCAAAGGTTTGCTGTCCTTAGAATGTTCTGAAATGTCAAGGCAGTTGCTTGTGTTTAACTGTGAACAAATAAAGATTTATTGTTTTGCACTCCGCAGTGTTGAGATGGAGTGACTTTATGCTGGCCTTGGGGGCTTGTGGGTGAAATGAGATGGTCCAGAAACACTGCAGTCTGGAGTAGTTCCCTGGATGGTGGTACAGAACAGGGGTAAACTTGGGCTGGGGAACAGATAATTCAGCTGCCTTAAACTCATGCCTCTGTGTAAAGAGCAGTGTGTGGAAAAGGGCCACCTCTGAAAACTTGGCCACCCAAGTCTGCATCTCAAGTCCTCCTGATGGAACCCAGTAGAAGCTAGTCCTGGCCTGTGATATACCAAAGGACAGTATAGCTGTCATCATCACCTGTGCCGGTGCCCCCTCTGCCCTTCAGGTATTGCCCAGGAGTGGGAGATAACCTTTATATAATTTTGAGATTCTTCCCCCACCTAGTCCCTGCCACTCAGCCTAGGCCTTAGTGGGGCAAACAGGGTGTAAGCTGCCTGGCGGTGCCTCAACCAGGACAGGTATGGAATTACTGCACTGCCTGTCTTAACTGCAGGAGGCTGACTATCTGGAAGACTCAGGGGTTGTCTGAATAGGTCTCTTGCCAGACAACGAATTTACTCTTGGAGAAGCCTGCAGGCTGGCCCTCTGTGGCCTAAGCCTCCTAGAGGCAGCCCACTCTGAAGGGAAGCACTTGGCTGCAGAGGTCTCCGGCGCTGTCTGAGAAGGGCTTTGCCTATGTGGCCATCACCCAATGTCCTCCGATGTCTTACAAGTACAGAGGGGTTTTGGTTTTTGGTTTTGTTTCTTGTCAGGTAAATCCCAGGAAACCAAGCCAGGCAGAGAAATGGTAGAACACTTTATTCTTGAATGTCTCCCCCTGAGGAAGCAACAATACAGAAGCTAAGTCGTCCCCTGTGAAGGGAAAAACCAAAAGTCAGAGCTCACTTCTGGCAGCCAAGAAGCCAGGAGTATACATCTACATTGTGGACAGACTAGACTGCTGCAGAGACTAGACCATTGTCCTGCTCAGGAGCCACTGAACAGTTCTGCGGTCTGCCATGCTCTTCCCTCTCCCAACTAAGAAGACCATCCATCCCTTGTTTTGGTCCAAGGAACTGAACACAGTTGAGTTCAGCCTCCTGGTCCCTTCCCCCTAACTTGTTCATGACAGACCCTGCAGCTCATTTCCATCTTGCCCCTGTCAAGACAAGGAGCTAAGTGGGCCCCCCTCCAGTTGGTCAATACAGAGCCAGAGGCCACAGCATGGGCAGGAGGCCTGGGCATCAGCATAGCACCCTTCCTCTGGGACATGCCCTACCCACACCATATTGTTTGGGCAGCTCCATGAGTAAGGATCCTTTTCATCAACACGGAGGTTAAGAGGCCGAAATGTTAGAAGTGAAAAGCAAGAGAGAGATTCTCAATTGTGTATTGGCCACCGAAGCCAAGTACGTTGACAGTGAGTTACAGTTTCCCACCAGGTGGTTTCCAGGGAGGCTTCCGGCCTTTGCCTTTCTCCCTAGAGTTGGAGCTCTCATTTTCAAGCTGCCTATACTTGTGTTTTCCTAACCAGTGCTGGGCAGGTCTGGTAGTGGCTGCTGCGGCGGCTCCCTGGCTACCCAGGACCTCACTCACATGCTGAAGCACTTTGCGAGGCAGCTTCTCGGAATGAGCAATCCACTCTTTCATTAAATCCAGGACTAAAGGGATGAGGCTGACCACGCCTCCATAGTGGTTCCTGGCTTCATCACAGCTGAGGTGGTTTACTACATCGTGTGGGTACCTACAGGATAGTGAGCAGATGGTGAGACTTACCTCATGGTCACCCACCCCAGGAGGTGTGAGAACTAAACTCATAGAACCTCAGGCTCCATCCCTATGTGTTCTGATTCAGAAAGTTCAAAGCCAAGAGCCCCAGGTGCTTGTGTAGGAAGCAGGAGCTCTTAACCTCCTATCACTTTTATAAAATACCGGCTACCTTCGACCCTTCTCACCTAACATCTGAAGAGCTCCCAAAAATGGATTCATGGAGCTTTGGATTCTTTGGGGTCACCATGGAACTCCAGGGGATGTAACTCTGATGTCCACTTCTGTAGCCACTTTCTCCCTAGTCTGCTTCTAAGTCCTAGGAGACATTTTTTTTTTTTTTTTTGTCCTGTCTGTGACCCAGTTTTAGATCCATTTGATTAGGTTAGTCATTGTAGGTAGTTGGTGGCTAGGACTTATATGGACTAGAGGCTGTAACCTGTTCCTTCAGGGGAGAGTCAGCTCAGAGGTTCCTGTCCTCTGATGAAGCACACTCTGCCCCGTGTACCCCCACGAGGGACTTACTTTGCTCTGAGGCTGCTCAGGTCATTGCTTTGGCTAACCAGGGTTTTGCATTTCTCCAGAAGGCTGTTGGTGACAGGAGTGCCCGAGTGCAGGGCCTCAAAGTACTGGCAGAGCTTGTTGAGTTCCGAGCAGATGTCCAGGAACATGACCAGGATTCTCCGGTCTGTAGAGTTGTTACAGTAGTGTTCCATGTAGCTCTGCACCTGCAGAGGCCAGTGTGTCAGGAGCGGGAGCTGGAGAGACAGGGCACTGCCCCAGGCCTCCCACAATCACAGACTGAGTGCCAGACATGGCAGCGTTTGAATATACAGCTCATGATATACAGCTAATGTCGTGTACCAAGCACCATTGCAAAAATGCTTCCCTAAGCCTCATCTCACTCCCTCATCACCTAAACCTTTTAGAGTCCTCCTTTTACATACTCCCTGAATGCTAGAGGTTCAGACATGAGAAATAACCTGATTGGGTGCCAACAGAAGTGGCTTGAATGATTTGCCTCCCCACACAGTGGCCTGGGCTTCACCACTCTGCTTATCCAAACCACAGACAAGTAAACAAGAATCCTTCAGGCTGGTTGTACTGCATTTTAGAGTTAGAAAAAGTGAGCTACAGGCCTGACTGGAGAAATGACTGTCCATATGAAGACAATGCAGTGTGATACCCCAACCTGGATTCAGAGACCATCTCCAGTGTGGGGGTGTGGGTGTGGGGGTGACAAGTCCACACCAGACTTCATATACCAAGTAAACATTACACCTCTATGACTGCGTAGGTAGCATGCTGAGAACACTACTTCTCTGTTCTTCCCAAGGCTTCCTTGGTTAGGGGTAGGAATCCCTCTATGGGTCTTTTGCCAGTTACTTGTGGCCACCCAGAGACTTTGCCTCTAAGCACAGGCAAGATGACATGGCTGTTCTTATGCTAGGGAAGAACTGCCTCAGCTACAGGACTGAGTAAAGGATTCAATCATTTCACAGCCAGCTGTTACTCTCCATGGAGTGATGAATGGGGCACCGCTGCTTCCTCTGATACTCCAAACTCTCTGTTTAGCGGGGCTACCCTGCTTCTCGGTGATCTGAAGGGATTCTTTCCAAGTCTGTTAGAGGTAGAGGCTTCCGACAACATACCTGTCCAGGTACCTGGGGTGTGACCACAGCAGAGTGGCTTCCTTGGGTGTGTAAGGGGGGCTTTTGGGGTAGACATCCCCTTCTGAACCTAAGGTGGGAAGCCCTATCAAGCAGGTGCTTAGAAGTGAGACATAGGCCACTATTAGAGACTGAAAACCTATCCCATGCCCTTGCAAGGTTGAGCTGCTGGGGGAGTGTAACCAACTGCTCTTTCAATAGTTTGGGCGCATGAGCATGGACCAGTGGACCACTGTGATAGACAAGTGGGTGTGGGGTGTGGATGCAGCAGCTTGCATGATGCATTTTTTCAAGTAAAAAAACAGGAGGTTTTTTTGTTTTGGTTTTTTTTTTTTTTTTTTTTTTTTTTTTTTTTTTTTTTTTTTTTTTTTTTTTTTACAAAATTTAGAAAAAGAATGTTAAAGGATGCCTCTGGCAAAGGTTGCTTGTTTTCCACAGTCTGCTTTCTCCTGGGTACTTCAAGCCTGTACCACATTGACCCCCAGCCCCCTTTAAACAGGTACCCTTCAGGGGAGCTTGACTTGTTTGTGGCATCCTGTTTTTCAGTTCTGGGATCCAGCTTGTGCCTATGTTCCTAGCTACCCAGTGGCGGGGGCCCTAACTCCCTGGAAGGCCTCCAGGAGTAAACTAGGACCTTTAAAGAAACAGGTGAAGTAAATGTATCTGCAAAGCCTCCATCAGTGAGCTGGGCCAGGTGCCACTTGGAGAATGACCATTATCTGCCTGCTTATCAACAAATGCCCCAGTGCTCAGCCTAGGGCTTGCAGGTGACACCAGACACTTGAGTACTTAGTATGGGATGTTATCATTAGATGTGCCTTCAGGTGGGGAAACTGAGGTTAGTGAGATATGATCACCCACCCAAGGTTACCCAGCTGGCTGAGTCTTGAGCCCATATTTTAGTCACTGTTACGTATCTGGTAGGTGGAAATAACTGAGGGACTGTTTCCATCAGTTAGAATCTGAGTTGGCATGGAAACTAACATGCAGTTCTCCTCTCTAGGGCTCCACTGATCTGTGTTTTGGGTGAGGGGACTAGGCTGGGAAGAACACCCTACCCAACCCTGCACCAGCCCCTGGCTCTCCAGGCATCACCTGTCCGATACTGGAGATAGGCCGGATTTTGTCGTGAGCATTCTCCCTGCAGTGCTCTAGAGCTGCAATGAAGGTGAACTGTTGTTGCTGGAAGAGCTTGTATTTCTGCTCGATGCTTCGGAGGGTCTCTTTCACCTCATTCATTGTCGTCCTTGGGTTTCACAGGACAGGAAGGGTCTATTGCAAGGAAGAAGAGAGCCTTGAAGTCCCGGGGGTCAGAATCTCCATTCAGTTTTGGAGGGAAGTGCCCTCCCAAAGGAATGTGTCCTGGAAGCCACATGCTTGTCCTAGGTCCTTCAAGTTGTCCACTACCGCGTCAAGTCTGACCTTGTCTGTTTACCCCCTCCAGAACACAGTCTGCAATGAGCTGTAGCTTCCTTCACCTAGGGACAGGTCCTCAGTGTCTGCAGATCATTGGGTCTACCCTCACACACATGCACACTGTCTCAAATGTATGTGCACACATAGCATCCAGGACCTCTTCCGTAGAAGAACCTGGGAGTCAGGGGCATGCCACAAGACCCCAAACCAACAACATGTAAGTTTAAAAAAATGTCTGCCATTGATATAGGATGTCCTTCTGTACACTGCAAACATGTGTTGCTTTTATTGGTTGATGAATAAAGCTGCTTTGGCCTATGGCAAGGCAGAATATAGCTAGGAGGGAAATGCAAGCTGAGATATAGGGAGAAAGAAGGCAGAGTCAGAAAGATGCCAGCAACTGCCAAGGAAGCAAGACATGTAGAAAATGAGGTAATGCCACAACCACTTGGTGATACAAAGATTAATAGAAATGGGTTAATTTAAATGTAAGAGCTAGCTAGTAATAAGCCTGAGCCACTGGCCAAACAATTATAATTAATATTAAGCCTCTGAGTGATTATTTTATAAGTGGCTGTGGAGCTGGGTGGGGCACATAAAAGCCTCTGGCTACACACCACTGTGAAGTTGTTGAGAGTCTGGAAATTCTTGTGAGCTAAGCAGGGGAGAGTCAGTGCTTGGTGGTTCTGTGTGACTATCTCTGTGGTCTTGGGGCAGGTTTCCAAGGCAGGTATTGGTGCAGACCCCCCCCCATCTTATGTTAATTAACTGCATTATCTAATCAGAAAAGGCATCTGCAGGGAGTGCAGCCCAGAGGCCATTATTGATGTGATACTGGCTGTCCTCAAACACTGAGAATTTCCCATGGGCAGAGAGGGTAGGGGTACCCTATCCACGCTGTCATAGTTTACTGACCTCTGGCAAAATGCTTATAGTCTTTAGGGAATGTCAGAACTGGAAGGGGCCTCAGTAACTTCCAGGGGAGACCTAGAGATAAGGGAGTCCCACTGATTTTGTGCCATAGACCCCTGGGTCCCAGGCTTCCTGATGACTAAACACCTCCTCTCTGCCCCTCCACCAGTGCACACAGAACCCAGATGCCACCCTGTGTCAAATGAGCCAAAGCCATTCCAAGATGCAAAAGTAGAGGGAGGAAGACGCACAAAATCAAGAGTAGGGAAGGTAGCTTCTTAGTGAGGACAGAGTAGAGCTGGGAAGACGGCTAGCTCTGTAGCAAAATAAATGGCAGCAGGGGAATGTTTTACAAAACAGACTAGACCAGAGTACAGCCTCTATGGATGCTGCCCTGCAAATCAGAGAGCTCAGAGATAGCTGGAGGGGAGGCCTTTTAGAGACCTAGGGTTGTCCCACATTAACCCAAGTGGGTGTCCCATGCAATTTAATAGAGCATGCACTGTGTCTGTCAATAGCTGGGAGTAGCTGTAGCCTTGGTTGGCCTGGTGCAAGTCAGTCCCCAGGAGACAGGGCAGCCCCTTCCTCTCTCCTCACCTTCCTACACTCGGCCTTCTGCCTGAGTGACAGGGTGAGTATGGAGTTGATATTCTTGTTTATTGGGCATCTGCCATGTTCCCGGCCTCTTCCCCACGGAGCAGAATTGATCACTTGTGTATACTTGTTTTCTATTGTCCCTCCCCAGAATTCTGACTCACCAGGAAACCAGGAAAGGGTTGAGGGTGAAAGGAGAAAGACAGAAATTAAGGACTGGGTGCCAAAAAAAAAATCATCATCCATTCAAGAGAGAAAAGAAATACTTAAAAAAAAGTTCAAAGAATAAAATAACAGAATTTTAAAGAAATATTGTGCCTTCCCCTACCAGAGCCTGTGGCAAAAGAAAGATATATCGTAATAAGTTTGTCTTTATTAAGTGTTGATAGTTTATTCTAAATGGATTTTTTGCCATTTGTTTTGAATTTTTGAAGAACATTACATTGATATATCTATCTTGATTGTTGAGATTTAGGGCCCTTTGCATTCCATTCACAGATGAGTGTCCCCTCCTGCCCCAGCTCAGAGCTTACAAATGACTCAAGTTGTAACCTAGGAAAGTCAGAGAGGCCTGGAGGTGGGCACCCAGAGACACAGAAAGTGTGTCTTGTTAGCCTGCCCCCTGCCCATGCAGCTCAGTGCTGTGGTTGGCCATAGTCAAGACCGTTCTGCAACTACCTGTCCTGGGTTCAGGGCCTCTTCTACCCTGACTACTGACCTCGGGTGACTATCATCTCTGAGCTTGTGCCCTAACATATGGAAGGAGAGGGCAGCAGACACCAGGCTTGGGGTGAGCATGTCCTGAGATGACAGCTATAAGGCAAGTGGGGACCCCAGAGCACAACATACCTCAGAGCTCCTGTGATTATCCAGCATGTAGCTGACAGGTGACTGCTACAACAGTGTGGTGAGTACCTGAAGAGACATGAGGCCAGAAGTGGGAGCCTGTTTTCTTGGGGGAGGGGGTAAACTCTAAGCTTGAAAAGAATGGGTGCAGGTGGGCAGTGTACTAGGCCAAGTGGCAGGGATATAAAGACAGGGCGAAGCCAAGGGACCCCTAGGTCAAGCTGGATATTCAGAACTGCTGAAGGCATCTAAGCCAGAGAGTGGACATGAACACCACACACACGGTCCTTCCTTCCCTGTGACAGATGCAGTCTGGTGCTGGGCTCTGCAGCAATAGACAAGGTATATGAGGCCCTGCTCTGGATGAACTCTACTGGAGGTGGAAGAGGTCAGGGCAGAGCTCAGAGTGTGGCAGGGTGAACACATGAAAGGCAGGGCTATTCAGTCTGCCAGAGGGGCACCTGCAGGGTGGATGCCTACAGACATCAGCAAGACATTGGTCTGTCAATGGTATGAGAACAGCCTCTGACTCAATAGTGTTCTAGGAAGTCCCCGGCATGAGTCATCTCAACCCCTGGCCAGTTTAGGACAAGGGACCACAATGGCCACACAGGATGATCAGAGGATGAAATTGAAACCCCAGTTAGGAAGAGGGCAAGCCAGGGTCTGTCACATCTGGCTTGACTTCTCAATGTCAATTAGACCCACCCTCCTCGCCCTCTCTTAAGTTCCCTAGAGCAAGATGGCAGGTGTTGGGTTGGCTGTGGCCGCAGGGGAACCGGGGGAAGATGCTACTAAGGATCTGAAAAGTTACCCAACCACTTCTAGGGTCTGCTACTAGCTAGACGCTGGGCCTCACTTCCACTCCTATCCCAGAGCAATGAGGACTAGTACTCATGGAGCTGTCTCCTGTGTGTTCAGCTTCTGCCACCCTCTCTGGGCTTCTGGATTCTCCAAGGAGACGGAGCTAACTGGCTTGCTGTGGCCCATGAGCCCCCTAGAGAAAACCTGGCTCAGCTTTTGATCCTAGCAACTTGTGACATGCACACGTCAGGCATGTCACAAAAGGGGCTGTAACAAGCTATCCAAAGTGATTGTCCCTTGAACACAAGCCTCTGCAGCCAAATTAGAGTGGATGAAAGATCTGCATGCAGGTGCTTCTCTTTCTGGGGGGAGGAGGGAGGAGAAAGCGATTACCCCATAGGTTTTAGGCTTTAATTGATTTGTATTTTTCCAGTCTGCTAAAGAAGATTAGATCATGGTATGAAAAGTGCCTAGGGCTTAAAATAAACGAGGAGAAACGAAAGCCATTTCAGAAATGTCCAGGAAGCATACCGAACCTCCTCAGTGCAAGAAGCAGTTTGGCACTTGTATTCTTTGTTGAGGAGGTGGCTTCTTTGCTCCTTGGCTGACAAGTCTACCAAGGCCTGAGGCCTTTGAGGAAGCAGTTATAGGGACAGAGGGCAAGTGTCACAATCCCAGGCCAGGACGCCTGCTGCCAGCCTTGGGGCTGCCTCTGATTTCACTCCTGGCCCTCGGCAAGACTTCCCCCCTTTGCTGGGCCTCAGTCTGTTTCTGCCCAAGGAAAGAATCTGGATCAAAACTCTTCACGCTATTGGAATGTCCGCTCTCTGTCCAGCAGTCGGCCAGGAAAGAGATCTGGAAAGAGGAAATGACTTGCCCAAAGTCACCCAGCCAACTCCTCTGTCCTGTCCTGCATTCTGAGAAGAAAGGTTTTCATTTGACTATGCATGATGTTGTGGCCCCAGGAACCCTTGAACGCAAACAAGACTGGTTCTTGACCCATGTAAACAGATGAACTACAGGGGCCTCAATTGGTAAGAGCACTTGCTGCTCTTCCAGAGGATCTGACTTTAGTTCCCAGCACCAAGATCTGCCTGTAATTAAAGCTCCCTGGTTCGAACACCAGGGTTTTCCAGCCTCTGCTCTTCCTCTGCCCCACCCGTATACACATACGTAAAAATAAAAGTTGTAAGAGGGAGGCTACAGTTGTCCAAAGTGATTGAGGGGAGATTAAGATTAGTCTAAAGATTAAATGAGATACCACTATGGACAGTAGGTCCCACATTGCCCACTTCCCACTGGGCAGTCACTGTCGAATACTTCAGAGCAGTCGTTGGAGTAATACCTGAGCTGCACCCACTGCTCAGAGTGGAAACTGAGGACCAGGGCAAATTTGTCTAGTTCCCAGCGTACATCCGCACACACGCAGCACTTGCATTTTGGGCTGTCCCTCCCTCTTGGCTACACTTGCCCCTTCCACAGTATCAAGCTCTCCTCCTCTAGGCCAGGACACCTCCACCTCTTCCCCCACCACTCCCCGAGTGTTTTCGATTCCGCTCTTGGGCCGGCGCCCCAGCCCCCTTTACCCTGGTTTGACTCGGACTGGCCTTCGCCTCACAGAGTACCCAGAAGCTTGTAGTGCCTGCGTGGGTGTGTGGGCCCCGGAGGGCGGGAAGACCCTCATCAGTTCTCGGGAAGCAGGAGTGGGCGGGGTCGAGGCCACAGAGACAGGCGGCCCTGGCCGATTGTGACTACAGGTGCCATGGCAATCAGGTCACATGGCCCGCTGCCCAAACCAGGAGATCCCGCCCAGGTTCTGGCTGATCCCGGATGCACATGACTTTTGCGCCTGCAGACATCAGATCTACATCTGCTTAGCGTCTTTCGTTTAAAGATAGGGAAACTGGGGTGCCCGAAGCAGAGTCAGGGTTGAACCCTAAGCTCCCAGCATCCAGAAGCAAGTTTCTGGATCCGATCTCCCTCAGGAGGGCCTGGGGATCCAGAGCTGTGGACCCTAGGATGTCGTGGGATTCTTCACATGGTGGCCCTTCGGAGAATCCTGGGGTCCTTGCACTGTGACCACAACTGGAGTCCTGGAGTCATTGTGCTGTGGTCCCACTGGCATCCTGAGGTCCTTGCGCTGTGGCCCCTCAGGATGTTCTAGGGTTGTGCAGTGTGGCCCTGGGGAGGGAGAGCCTACTGCGGTGAGGGCCTTGATGGATGGAACGGGGACCAGGACTGGTCCCAGCGGAGGCGCGGAGGCGCGCACCGATGACGCACAACTTGGCGTCCTAGCAACGCGGTTACTAGAGGTGCGGCAAGCAGTCCGAGACATGGACGCGACAACTGCCCCGCACCTCATCCCCCCGGAAATGCCTCAGTATGGGGAGGACAACCACATCTTCGAGATGATGCAGGTGTGAACAGGCGCCCGAGGGTAGGGAGTGAGACCACAAGACCGCAGGGGCCAGGCTGGCAGCACGGTCGCAGGGGAGCAGGGGTAGTCCCTCTTCTCAGTTTCTCCACCTGTGAAATGCCGCTGTAGTTCCCAGGGCCTCATCTGAATTTGTGGTGACCGAGCCTTGGGTCTTACCTACCTAAGCTGGGTCCTGGCAGCACTAACAAGGTAGGATCAGCCACCTGACTTCAGTTGTCCCAGGAGACAAACAACAGTGGAAAACAGAAAGAGTTGTTCTGTGTGACCAATATTAGGAAGAGGAACACATAAAAATCTGGTGATCTTCTCCCCATAGATCCAGTTTTGGGGTCCTGACAGAGGTTTAGATTTAGAGGGCAAGGGGTGCGTCTAACTAAGCAGGCCTGGTCAAGTGTGGTCCCACCCATTGCTGACCCATCTTTGTCTCAGCTCCATTCTCTCGTGAAAGTTGGTCTGACAAGTTACAAGAACTCTGGAATCTCCTCTGGCCGACACCAAGCTTCCCTTCCCTTCTCCCATCATGAGAGTTCCAGGAAATTCCCATTTCTCCGTGACCATTCATTGTCTCATCTGTCAGTCAAAAGGAGGAGATGCATGTGCTTGTCTCACTGGAGTGTCTTCATTCCTGTTGGGGCAGGATCATGGGCTGTCCAAGTTCAAGATGACGTCTCTGTCTGGGTGGATTTTTCAGAACTTTACAAAGCCCTCAACCCTTATCCTGACTCCCAGCCTGTCCCAGTTCCCAACCCCCTGTGACCTTGGGCCAAACTGTGTTCCCACCTATATGTGGTCCTTTTCCACTCATGCTCCCCATGTGTGCAAAAGGCTTTTAGAAGCTGGACTGGTAAGTTCTTAGCCACTCAACGATTCTGGGAGCCAAGGGTAAACTAGAGCTCAGTTTCCAGTACCCTGTACTGCAATTTGAGGTATTCAAGCACCCCAGTCAGAACCATGGTGACACATGAGCCCAGACCAAGGGACCCGAGTCTCCAGCAAACATGCTTCCTTTGGAAAGAATTAGTGGGAGGGGGAGACAGAGTGCCCAGTCACAAATAAACAAGCTCCACTGGGGCAAGGAGAGGAGGATTGATGACCCTGGCCTGTTTTCTGATCACCAAGAAAGCTTTAAGCTCATTTGGGTTGTGTCTCCACTGTTTTGATCATTTCCTTAAAAAACAGAAAAAAACAAAATCGTTTTATTTTCAAATGGGAAGTTATAAAAATGGTATTTGTCTCTTGTCTACCCTTGAAGCCATCTAACACAGGTGTTGTCAAAGCCATGAAAGTGTGTCCTGGGTCGTGTGTCCTCTCCCTGCTCCTGGATTTCTGTAGTGGTGTGTACGGCTCTGTCAAATTTTATCAGATGTCTGGAATCTCACGGCCTTCACAGATCCATTGCTGTTCACCCACACTAAGACCATTCCCAGAATTCAGTTCACTGTCACAAGCTCAGCTTCTTTTTGTCTTGTCCTGAGAAATACTTTTGGCATTACCGCTCTGGAGCACTTATTTTTCAGATGCACCATCTATGCAGTGTCTTAGCCAAGATGCAAGCGGTAACGTACTCAAATCATAGAGTGAGCCCAGCTGTGCCACTGGACAAAGGGAGGGAGTTGGAGGGAGGAGAGCTGAGGCCCCAAGAAGGGAAGAAAGTTGCTGGTGAGGTCTAGAGCTGCACTGGAACGAGATTTCCCCTTGGTGCTTTTGACTGCCCTGCACACCTGCTGCCCCCATAGGTGGAAGCCCCTTCCCTTCCTAACCTGCAGTCTAGCTCCGGTCAGCTCTCCAGTTCCCTGGTGTGCCAGCTACCCTGATAATTGCTTCCTCTGATGTGTTTGCTCAGTTGGGCTAAGAGTAGTCAAGACTTTAGATATTTGGCTGGATAAGTATTCTGCCCCTCTGTGGAAAGACCCAGGCAGCAGGAATAGCTTTGTTCCCCAGATAACATGGGCACAGGACTGGGCACCTGCTGCAATTGTGCAGATGGGGAGGACCACAGAACCCATAGGGTGGTAGAGCAGAGATGAGGTGAGGCAGAGCACACAGGTCCATATGGCAGGCCTGTGCAGGAACATAGGGTGGCAGGGATTTACCTGGGTGCATGCACTGAGATCTGATGACCAAGTAGCCAGGTCAAGGAGCAGAAAGCATTATGTGTAGAAGGCCAGCATTCACTGAGGCCCTGCAACAGGGCAACAGTGCAGGACCAAGGGAAGGCTTGGGTGGGGAGCACAAAGGGAGAAGAGGTAGAGAGGGCAGGGGCACTGGCTGCTTGGACTTCCTTGGGCCTCTGCTGCCAGCGACCCCAACAGATGCCCCAGTAGGTGATCTCTACAGCAACTAGGGCCCCTGCAGGTGTTCATCTCCTGCTATCTGCTTGTGCCCACAGAATATGCTGGAGCAGCTCCTGATCCACCAGCCAGCGGACCCCATCCCCTTCATGATCAATCACCTGCGCCGGAACAATGACAATGGTGAGCACTCACTCCAATGTGTGGTAGCTGCCTCCACCATCTCCTCCAGGGACCCTACCCATCCTGACCACAGCCCAGCAGCTTGCTGTCCCTATCCGTGTCTGAAGGGAGATCAGAATAGGACAGAGAGGGGAGGTACTTGGACCAGCTGCAGTGGTTAATTGGAGAATGGCTTCTTTTTCTTTTTGAGACTAATAAAAATTCTCGTGCCAAGCTATTAAAATGCAAAGCCCAGAATGGCCCATGTAATCAATTATTAATGCTTCCGCCTGCCCTGGCTGATGTCGCCTGTTGGGTTTAAACACTCTGATCACTCCACTTGTCAGGTGAAGTTTGGTTTCTGCTCTACCTAGACAGGTGAATGCTTGTACTTTTCCAAGGGTCTCATTATCACTACTTGCTAATGAGTTGCTGAACTCCCCAGACCTCAGCCAAAGGTGGGTTGGTCAGACCCCAGGCTCAAGTGCAAATCTGGGAAGAGAAAGGCCCTCCAATAAGCAAGGCCCCTTCCTGAATCCCAGCATGGTAGGTTTGCCAAGCCAAGGGAGGATTCTTCTGCCCTGGGTGAGCCGCTTGGGGACCTGGTGTCTTGATTGGTTGGTTGATTTTCCCACAGTTCTAAGGAAGCTTTATCTTAACAGCAAATTTAGCATTCGGGGCTTGAGATGCCCCACGGTGGAACTGGGCTGCCTACAGTCTGAAATGATGCTAAATTATCTAATAAAAGTTAGGTTTAGGTTTGAGCTGGTTATGGTGGTACACATCTTTAGTTCCAGCACTCAGGAGGCAGAAGCAGGCAGATTCCCGAGTTTGAAGCCACTCTGGTCTACATAGTGAGTTCCAGGACAGCCAGGGCTACACAGAGAAACTTGTCTTGAAAAAATAGGGTATCGGGGCTGGAGAGATGGCTCAGAGGTTAAGAGCACTGATTGCTCTTCCAGAGGTCCTGAGTTCAATTCCCAGCAACCACATGGTGGACTCAGAACCATGTGTAATGAGATCTAGTGCCCTCTTCTGGCGTGCAAGGATACATGCAGGCAAAACACTGTGTACATAATAAATAATCTTTAAAAAAAATAGGTTATCTCTTTTGTCATGGAATCTTAGTAGTTAGCAACAGAAATAAAACTAGAGCAATCTTTAAAAGAAACATTTAAAGGTCTTTAAAAAAAATAGGTTATCTCTTTTGTCATGGAATCTTAGTAGCTAGCAACAGAAATAAAACTAGAGCAATCTTTAAAAGAAACATTTAAAGGTATCCAGAGCAGGCTTCATGCTTGCAGGTGCACCCAGTTCACCAGCCAACCTCACATGTCTTGCAACCTGCACCTTGATGGACATGAGGGTCCATCTTTTAGCCCAAGTCTAGCATGTGGACCCTAGCAAGGAATTCAAACAGGAAAAGCTCTGAGGCTTTTCCAAGTCATGAATGGCCGAGTCTGGGTACCCCAGCACCCAGCTAAAGTTGAGACCATAGACAGGGTGGAAATTGAGCTGTGACAGGAGGGAGTCAGAGAACATTGTTCCCTAGAATTCCACCTGCTTCTTCCAGCCTTGCCTACCTTGCCCCAGGCAATTCTCTCTGCCCCTCCCTGGTTAGCTGGTCACTATGCTGTTCTGGGGGAGGCTCTGCTGTTGGTTCGAATGTCCTGTCTGGGTGGCTGTGCCTCTTGGAGAATTTTTTTTTTTGATGGAAACTGCACCGAGGCTTTATTGTAGTTGTTTAATGAGCTAATCCCATGTTAGCTCGGGTCTTTCATCCACCCGCCATGGCGGATGGCTCGGAAAG